TGAGTCGCGGATGGATTCTGCCCAGTTCGATCCCACACGTATCTACAACATAGACGAAACGGAATTCAACACGGTCGCAACAAAACAAGAGAAGGTGCTGGCGAGGAAATGGTGCAAGCAGGCCGGCCAACTGACATCTGCGGAACGAGGCACGCTGGTTACCGGGGTGATGTGTATCATCGCCGCGGGGAGCTACATACCTCCAGGTTTGATATTCCCAAGAAAGAGGGCCAACCAGCAGTTGGAGAATGGTCTTCCCTCAGGTAGCCTGGTGCTGTACCATGAGTCCGGTCGGATGCAGAAGGAGCTGTTTGTGAAATGGCTTGACCATTTCATACAGCCCGCGAAGCCCTCGAAACAGGATCCAGTCCTTCTCATACTGGATGGACATGCCAGCCACACCAAGGGCCTCGCAGCGTCCTGCTGTGCAGGGAAGCATGTGTGGTGATGCTCACCATTCCTCCGCACACCTCACACCGCCCTCAACCACTGGACCGGACGTTCATGCTTCCCGTCAGCACCTTCTTCCTCCAAAGTCAGAGAACGTGGCTCCGAAACAACCCTGGCAAAGTCATCACACTGTATGAGATGGGGGAGCTGATCGAGTCAGCCTACGTGCAGGCGGCAACAGTGAAGACGGCGTTGAAGGGCTTCGAAGTCACGGGGATCCTTCCCACAAACCGCCATGTGCTTGGCGAAGAAGACTTCGCAGCGGCGGAAACAGCGAACATCCCGCTGACCGGCACCGCAGACGCACCAGTGGGTCTCAACTCAGCAGCAGCTCCTCTGCTCATGCCTGGACCCTCTGACCTTGATGTCTCGGTGAGCACGAACGTTCGGGAGTCCTCGGAAACTGTCGCCGGAGACGCAACGCAGGCTGGAATATCGGGGCAGGGAAGCTCGACTAATGCCGAAACTCCGGCGAAGTTGCTCACCGCTGGGGCTCTGCCAGATGATTTCTCAAGCTCTAGCGATGACGAAGATGACGTTCTAGAAGTGTCATGCTCAGCTGGACCGAGCTATGCTTCCCATCGTCAGAATGACACACCTGCAAGCTCCTATGTATCTCCCCGCGAAATCCTCGCTGTGCCAAAAGTGCACTTAAGAGAGGAGAGAGGTAAATAACGAAAGCAAGATAAAACATGTGTCTTGACTGGCACACCATACAAGGAGGAACTCGAGAAGAGACTTGAAGGAAAAGAAGGTAGAGAGGGGGGAAAGAAAAATGACGACAGAAGTCAGTCTAAGGGAGAAAAAGGAAGGGTGTGGAAACTCAGAAACTGCAGCGCGAACAAAAGAAGCGTACGCCGCGAAAGCTTACCTTTGGGGAGTCCTCGGACGAAAACGATGTAGCTTGTCTGTACTGCGGATCCTTCTTCTCCATGTCCAAATCGAGCGAGTCTTGGTCGCGATGTGCTCTCTGCGATAAATGGGCGCACGATGCTTGTGCAGTGATTGCTGAAGAGGACAAGTGCTTGTTTGTGTGCGAACTGTGCCGGCATGACTAGGCAGGCTGATGTCTTGTCTAGTTTCGCCATTGGTTGTACCTGCTGACGGGTCCACTAGGCTGTGCTCTTTTCGTGTTTTGCGTTCACAGTGACTAAGAAGTGGATTGATGAGAAGAACGAGTGAGTGTTCCTGAGGGAACTTTGCTCGATGACTTGTGTGTTTGAAACTCGATCGTTTTCGTCTCATTGTGTAACCACCAGACTGTGTTCCTCTAGTTCTGTGTCTAAGCCATGCAGCGATGGCTGTTGCTTCATACCAAGCTGTGATGCACGTTTGCTGGCCATTATAACTTTCATTCGTGGGGTCATACTGAGGGAACGAGTATGGAGTGGGATGATTCGAACAAAATATGAGTGCCCAAACTTGATAAATATAGCTATTGGATGTACAGGTAAATACCTACTCACCGAGCAATGCATGTATTAATGCGTTCTCATTAAAAAATCATAATTTTGAAACTATTTATTTCGCATGTTCAATCTCATCACTTGTCCGTTTTGCCCCAAATACTACTTCGTTTTGTCCCAAGGCAGGGGCAAGATGAGGAAAAACCATTGCCTGATATTTAGGAGGATCACACTTTAACATGAAGAGATATGAAACCAGCGCTTTTATAAGAGATACACAATGGCTCAGCCTTCAATATCCACCTGCTAAAGACCTTCTGGACAGACTTATGAACTTCACATATTAATATACCGTTAAGGTGTCCGTCTTGCCCCGCTTTCCCATATATATATATATATATATATATATATATATATATATATATATATATATATATATATATATATATATGTGTGTGTGTGTGTGTGTGTAACTGATAACCAAAGCATCAGAGCATTAGGCGAAATCCGAGAAGTTCCTGGCCCTGGCCGTGTCCCCTCATAACGACTTCTGCGAATCTGGTCCCCCAATTATTTTCAGAAATCGACACCCACGCAAGGATTGTTTGGTCCATAGCGTTGTATAACGTCATCTCCTGGCACATTAAAGTTCAATAATTCGGCATAACAACATTGAACCCATAATTACGAACGCAGTGGTGTAGTTTCCTGATGAGTTTTGGGGGAGGGGGGGGGGGGAATTGAAGCCTCCATATGGTGGCGTTTTGAAGGTAGCCCGGCCCATTGTCCTCTTGTGTACCTCGCTCCCCTCCCTGTACCCAACGTAAAACACTGCAACTTACGGGAGCCGCGCGCCGCCGCGCAGCCAACGAGGGTCAGGTGATGTTGCGGAACAGCTGAGATATTTATTTCGGCGTCGTATTTAGGCTTTTCGGTAGCCGAAAGCTACCTTTAAATTTGTCTGGTCCCTCCCTGTCCGTCACATAGCAACATGCTACGTCCAGTCCCGAGTGATCCCGTGCAGTTTGGTCCCGTTTTGTCCGGTTCGGTCTGGTCCCGTCCAGTTCCGTTCATCATCTCCGATTCCTTTCGACCACGTTCGGTGACGTCCGATACTGTCTAATTGCGTCCGGTACCGCGTAGTCCAGCCTGGCGTTTGTCCGGTCCCGTGCCATCTAGTCCCATCTGGTCTCGTCCGGTTCCACCCGGTCCGGTCGTATCTCGCTTTTCTCGCCCAGTTCCCCTGACGAGGTCTGGTGCCGGACGTCCGTCCCCGTCTCGTCCCTTCCAGTGCCACCCAGTCTCATCTGTCTCTTCCTGTGTCATAGCCCACCCACCCCTCATGCCAGGTGCCAAACCCTGGTGACTTTTTCGTTTTATTTTATTTTGACCGTAGTGTTTTATACATCCGAGTTGATCTTTATCCCCGTTGATGCTCTGTCTTTCAACTTATTACTGCTATCCCTTATCCCATTACTGTCATTACCCTTGTCATGTTTTCGTCTTTTGACTTTTTCCTTATCGACTTTTATATTTTCGACTTTTTGGCCTTCGACTTTATTCCCATTCAACCCTTATCCCTGGCGGCTGCTACCCTTTTCGACCAACTGCCATTCGACTTTTTCCGATCCAAAACTTTCAGCCCTGTTGCTTCTATCCCTTTGAACTTTTTCACTAAGCTTTTTCCATTCGACTTTTGTATTTGATTTTTCATCTGGGAATCTCTCATATGTGTACGATGGCCCACTTGAGTGCTGAGGCAAACCTTCTGGTAACGAGGGGTGACAATACCTCATCGCAAATACGCAAGAAGTGCCACCCACGTTTCAGGACAGGTTGTAGATATATAACTAGACGGCATCGGCGTAGGACCGTCTCATGAAGGTGGGTGCCGATGCCAATTTGGATGCCCATTTTTCAATGCATCGCTGTAAAATTAACGTTCTCAAACAAGTGCGAGGTCATGTATCCCCTATTCCCCCTGCTCCTACACCTTTGGCTTCAGCAACAGAATGGAAAAAAAAATGTTGACGCGTTACAACATTTTCAAGGCGAGGACAAAATTTCGTGGCGGAAAGAAGACCAAAGTGGAAGCGAAAACGGCGCAAAGGTTGCAAACAATGAGCATTCTAACGGTACAAACCGGTATTAATGACGCTGATAGGCACTAACTTGGTAAACAGCACGGCTGTTCTAGGGAAGAGGGGTACTGCATATGCACTGGCCCAATTATATAGCTTTACAAGCGCCCAAGCACTGTAGGTACCATGTTTAACTGATTGTGTGTATATGGTGTGCTGACTGTATTGTATGGCTGTATGCGCTATTTTCTATGAGGAAGTTTTGGTGTTTGTGAAACATGCATGTGTACTAAGATGAGCATAATTGCTTGGAAGTATCAGTGTTGGGGTTTGATGAGGAGCAGTGCAGTAATTAAATGCACTGTGGCTTATGATCACAGTTTGGGACATTTGGCACTCAGTACTTCTAGGTACATTCCTTCTTCTTTACATCCTCCAGTCATGCTCCCAGTGACAAACCTGGGTGTGGAAATTGAGACAGTAGGCAGCATCCGAAGTTATAATGCAGTCTGCCAGGGTGGTCTGGTTTTGTGCTGCATTTAGCTGGTATAATTTGTGACACTGTTTGTTTCCCATATGGTAGGTATGCACATGCACCATTGAAATGTGAAGCATTGGATAGCACAAGGTCAGTTAGTGCCATGCATGCTGGTAACTGGTCCAGACCCTTCTGAAAGCTCACTTGCATTAAGGCTGTGAGATGAAACACCAATAACAAACAAACATTACCAACATTTTTGATAATGAGAAATGAGCCCAAGAGTCACGTCTTGTGGAGACTTAATTACCTTACGGTGGATACCAACTGACTACAAAGATCAGCTGCAGTTTCAATACTACCTTATTTAGCTGAATGTAGCATATTCAACCATGTCAGCTTACCAGGTCGTAACTCCAGTGGTCCCATGCCACTGTGTGTGCCAAGGTTTCTATCATAGGTGGGATCTAGGGCATAAACCAAAATATTCAGTAACATCACAAGGTGTAAATAGATGCAGAAATGGCATATTATTACTATCCTTGGTTAGGCATTATTTGATAATATACCATGAGCAGGAGGCACAGACATGATTCTGGCAAAATGAGCAGTGGGAGCCCTCTGCCAGGTGCAATACTCAATTACGACTAGCAATGACATAAATAGCATGCATGGATTGTGTAATATTAAAGTTAAGCATACTATTTTGATGATAAATTATGTGGTAAGTAGTGCTTAGGAGCAGAGATGGATTACAAACAATTACCCTGCCATTATCATAAAATTATCAGATCAGCACTTCAATTATGGATGCAAAGGGGGCCATTGAAAGACTGCATTTGTGCCCTTGTAACACCCAGATTCCCCTGTCTACTGACAGTAGAACTCAGAGGGCAGCTTAGGATGGCTACTGTAATAGGCCCTAATTTGTGTTTGTATTTCCTTAGGTGACCAGCTGTGAACAATGGCATCAAGAGTTCTTGGTAGTCAACCACTAACCTTTGTCACCAGCAATGTGAAAAAGCTTGAAGAGGTGACAGCCATTTTGGGGCATCAGTTCCCCATTCAGGTATGTTGGTGTTTGACAGTGTTCAGCTTAACATGTCCTTAAGTCATTTTCACAGGGCTATTATGTCTGTCTCCAAGTTGGGTAGAGGATGGTATGGCAACCAGTGAAACACAAAGCAAAAGTTCACTCCTATTTTGAGAAAGAACACTGTGCCATGCCTAAAACTTCTTTTTGGGTTTGAGGCATTGTGACAGCTTTTCAGAATGTCATTTAATGTGGAAGTAGTAACTAAATGGGCATCAAAGCACTGCTCAGTTTAATGGTTATGCATGGGCATGGCCATGTTAGAACAGCTAATGGTGGCATCAAAAGAGGATACAGATAGTCATGCTTATATATGTGTACTTATGCATGTATTGCATATATATTGGAGAATTTTGGAACATGTTGTCTTGTGTGCATTGCTTATTGTATGATACAGCAAATGCAGCATTTATGACATCAAACATTTGTTGTAGGCCTCAAAAGGCTTTGCTTGCTGTATTCTTTGTAGCAATTTAGAATATTGCCAAACTTCATCTCCTTTGAACATTTTTATCTGCCCAGTGATCATTTGCAAGACAGAAATTACACTCTAAACATTCTGTCACCCACTGTACACATGCAAGTTTGGTTTTCATTGTATGCCTACATAGCACATGCTCAAGGAATTTTTAAAAAATTGTATGCCACATGATTTTGTGCAAGTCTGAGTTCTGTATGGCTGAAAGCTTTTAAAATTTCATCATCAATTTAGAGGCTTACTGGTCTGGTACTTACTTTGTATTTTAGGGGAGGAGAAGTATGTCCTACTAGTTGCATGTTGTACAGAGGTAGTTGCATAAATTGTTTGTTTTGCATGTTAATGATGGATGCCATATCTCTGATACATGGTATTTCAAGTGTGTTGAGGTGTCTATGGTCTATGATAAATGTTAGTGACTGACACATTTCTGGTGAGTGTGGTGTCATTGTGTGTAGGTACGTGCACGTCGGTGCCATGCTGATTGAGGCTTAAAGGTAAGCCAATAAAGTTTCCTTTGCTAGTTTTGTAGTACTCTGAGAACAGAAGTGCAGGCAAAGGGGGCACAAGGGGCACTGGCTCCCCCCCCCCCCGCCCGTAGATTCCGATTTGCAGGCCCGAAGGACCCGAAAAGCCAGCCAGATGTCTCATTTGGGGACCCCGGCTCGCAGGTCCGGGCACTCAAATGCCACCCAGAGGGCCCCACACACTGATTAGGGGCCCACTGAGTCGATAAGGACGTGTATTTTGATCAGACTGCACCAGTAACGCACAGTCGGCTCCATGACGGCACGAGCTAAGGAATATTTCCCAAGCAGGGGCAAAGCCGGGGCGAGCGATTTACATTGCTCGGGGCCCCACAGTGCCTAAAAAGGGCCCTGTGTTGCCAAGGGGTCCCAAGTCGGCCAGAGACAGTGTTCGAGAAGGTCAGAAGAGCCTAGACGGCCCATCGGGTCCGAGGATCAGGGGCCCGATTGGAGGGTCGAAGGGCATAATGGTCTGGTGGGAGTCTTATTCAGGGGCCCAGACCTGCGAAAACGGACCCTCAAATAACGGTCAGAGGGCCCTTCGCGCCGATCGGGGACCCCCGAGTCGACATGGGCCTATATGTCGATCAGGCACCACCATACCACATAGTCGGCTCCGTTTCGGTATGGGCCTGAGGACCCACTTCCCAATCAGCTATAAAGTCGGGGCCGGTGTTTTACACTGGTCGGAGTCCTTGTATCTCTCAGGGGCCCACAGTGCCTAACTGAGGGCACTGTGCTCGCAGGGCCCCGCCGACCAAGGGAAGCGTTTGATGAGGCCCGAAGAGGGGACTGGGTGACCCTCAGGAACCGGCGATCAGAGGCTTGGTTGGAGAGCATAAGGACCCGAAGGACTGGCTGTAGGTCACGTAAGAATCGCAGAGTCCTGAACCGCAGGGCCGTGACCGTAAAAGAACCGTAGGGTCCGTAGAGTCCGAACAAGTTGAAAAACCGTAGGGTGGTGACCTGAAATATCAGTCAGAGGTCCTCTTGCACTGTTTTAGGAACCCCTGAGACAATGCAGGTATCTGAGTCGGTCAGAGACCACGAACTCCGAACAGTCTGCGCCATGTCTATTTGAGCCCCTGAGACCCATTTTCCAAGCAGAAACGAGGCCGGGTTCCACGATTTGCAATGTGTGGGGTCCCTGATACAGTGAGAGGCTCCTGCGTCGGTCGCCAACACACGGCCCCAGTGCCGGACAGGGGTCGTGTGGCTGCTAGCGGCTCCGGGTCGGAGCGGTGTTTGAAGGGGGCTCGAAAAGGGGCGGCAAGGTCTCCCAAGACCAAGAATCATGGGCTCGACAAAATGGCTGAAGGGTCCGAAGGGATGGCTGTAGGTCGCATTAAAGACCCCCACCCATAGGGACGGGATCTCAAATGCCAGTAGGATGATCTCTCGCACCGATGGGAACCACTGAGGCAGAGCGTTCTTCTATTTTGGCCAGAGATCACGAACAACGAACAGTCAGTTCCACGTAGGTCTGAGCTCTGGGGCCCCATTTCCCAAGCAGGGACAGGGCCAGGCCCGCGATTTATATCGATCGGGCTCCTGGGTCGTTCAGGGGCCCATAGTGCCTAAAAGGGCATTCTATGTCCACAAGGGGCCTCGAATTGGTCGGGAGAATATTTGTTCAAAAGGGACGGAGCCGGAAGCCCGAATGACAGAGGGCCTCTTTCGTTGGTCGGGGCCCTCTGACAATGGAAGGAGTCAAGAACTTATGATGAGCCCTCTCATTGAGGTGATGGAAGAGTCCTGTGCCAGTCAGGGCCCCCAGTGCCGAACGGTGCGCCCTCTAACCCTGTTCCAGGATGGGCCTGTTAAGCCCAAGTGTAGTCTATATGCCAATTATCTGACCACCTGCGGTGAGCAAGGATGTTGTTCCGTTAATGACGGTTCGTGCGTCGATTCGGGGTCAACTGCGTGTGCCAGAAAGCCTCCCACGTCAGGGAGCGAACCAATATGATATGATGTATCCCTTTAAGGGCCTCCGGATCGGCCTGGTAATGCCGCCCCGTGCCGCCAGGATGACGGCCGGAAAACACACCGCAGTGCGACAGAATGGCCCTTCAACCGTTGACTGGGGAACAACAATGTTTCCCGTAGTGTTGCACCCAAGATGGCCCCTTTACCGGAAAGAAATAGGACTCCATTCATTATTGTTAAAGTGAGTCGGTCAAAATGAGTTCAAAACGACAAGGGCATCCCATGTTCCCCTGAGAACGTTCATTTTTTTGTAGCATCGACGACTGAAATAAATGTCATTAAAATGTTTGAGCCTGCGCACCGGGTGCCGGTAATGTAGTGGTTACCGCGCCTTCGTTAACCATTGCGCGTCTAGGAAGCCTCAGATAACGGGGTTCGATTTCCTGCGGTGCCTGCCCTTCTCGCCAGGGTGAGAGGCTGGCGTTGTTATCGGCGTTGGACACTACATGCAACGCCAGGGGTCAGGCGCCGGGTGTGCATCAATGGCCATAGGAAAATAATGTTTCTGAATGTCTTCCAAAATTAACCCGTGCGGTTCAAAGGTTACCTTGGACGAATCATTTGTACAACTTTGATACTGTCGTTTGGGCAGATTAACAGTTACAGCGACATGACAAATACAAATTTTACCTTTTTCTTCCAGTTCCACAACCAGACTCCAGCATCACCTCGCGGTGCTGCAAAGACCAAAACGTTGATAACATCAATCTAAAAACGGCACAGGTGAAATACACACCCCGAATGCCTCTAAATGTACGATTTGTTGTCCAAAGGGTTCAGAGACATTTTATTCAGATGCGTCACTATTTTTGTTCACCTGTTGGCCTAACCTAGTGTAAGCCACGGGACCTAGTGTAAGCCAAGGGGCCTGCGCTGCGCGTCCCGAGAAAACTGCAACACCTGGTGTCGATTTTTTTTTGCTTCTGAGGTATGCGGGCACGTAAGCTCAAAACTGCGTTGCTTAATTTGTTCCACTTATCAGTTCTGGCCGAATGTTGAAGATATACAGATAGACATAGCCCGGCCATCTTAATACAAATTGTTGACCCATTCTCATCTTCAATGTACAGTCGCGGAATCCTTGCTTTTTCTGTACAACTCAGGCAAAAATTCTGCCAAAGTTCCTGAACCAGTCAAAATAAAGAGCTCCGGGGATTTATGTGAAGTAGCCATTCAACTCGTGATTTTGTCAGTTTGTGTATGATAAACCTAAGGCAAATTTGATCTCGCGGTATCGTCTGGCCTATATTTGAGTCAGGTAAAATATGTTAAATATATATGCATATATATATATATATCATATCTAAGAAAAGCATGTTCTCAACAACAAATGGGTCATAACCGGTGAAATTTTTTTTTGGGGGGGGGAGCCTTCTACCAGTTACCTAGAATTAACGACTTTGAGTGTAAAGCAACATCCGGTGATGGGGAATTTTTTACTCCATTCCCCGATATTTTATATGAATTTTTCACTCCTACCTGACATTGTCTAAACACTCATACCAAACCCATATTTTCCCTTCAGAGGTTGTAAGATGTCATCCAAAACCGAACTCACTTGAAACCATCAAGCATAAACAAGGCTGCTTAGAATCTGGACACCTATGGCCATATCCTGCCTCACCTACGCCTGGATCATGCCTATGTTTGCACAGAGCAAGGGCACCAGGTACCTACAAGCCCAAGAGCCCCAGCGACTCCAGCCGCTTGCGTGCACTAAGTTCGGTTTGTTTACAAAATGCATCATTACAGCTGTGTGCCAAACACAAGGTTTTGACGCATCCCCAATGTTTTGGGTCGCACCACGCAATCGTCACACCAGGAAAGCAAGGCCTGGTACAAGCACGAGCAAAGCCTGGTAGAGAATTTTACTCCACGTATTTCTTTTACCTGAAGAAACTTGACCACTAAATTACACCACTCCCGAAAGGTAGGAGTGAAAAGTTCTTCTAAAATGCCTTCCAAATGAAACTTAAAAGCTGAATATCACCATTTGCGGACTGTGATGCAACTTCATTTTTCCTCCCTTTCCAGTTATCTTTAATCATACCATTTATGGCTTAAAATGTTGGCCAGTTTGTCTGGAAAGTGTTTCAGCTGCAAATTTGCACATTTTGCATACAACAATTGGATTTATTCTCCAACCGCCCAAACATGTTTAAGATGCACCCAAGAGTGAACAATTCGTAGGGAATGGAGCAGGCAATTCGAAGCACTGAGAAGTGCAAAGAACAGCACGAAAACATTGGTGTTGCGTAATTTTTAAGCTCGTCACACTTTTATGAAATTACTTTTCCTTAATGTATTTTGTTGCACTGTAATGACCTAAGATGTTAAAAAAGTTTTTATCAGGTTCATGATCTTACGTCCATGCCAACTTAAAATGTATGTCTTTGCTTGCTGGAGCACCTCTCACTGATTTACAGGTTCCGACTTTTGGGAATTGGATTCTTCACTCCGTGCGGTCTTTTCGGGATATAATTCTTCACTCCCACCCTAGTTCAAAAATGATTCTAGCTCACTGATCTTCTGTCTTGTCAGAGTCTTGTGATGCTTGGTGATAAGATGCGGTGATAAAGTCTTGCAAAGTAAGTTGGGAAAACAGTAAAAAATCACAACTTTGTCCCCAAATTTGCCCGCAAACGGAATTTTCCCTGGATTTCGCCTGCTGTCTTCTCAAAGTCGGGTGGGGGGGGGGGGGGGGCTGAAAGCCTCCAAGTGAATAGGAAATTATCCCAGATAGTAGGTGCTTTTGGACGCCCATTTGACAAGCGCGTAGAAATGTGCTTGCTTCGGGACGTTGCTGTCAGTCAAATGCAGTGACTACCCATGCGGGATATGCAATCTCCTAGATTACAACTATGTTTGTAGTAGGTGATTAACGCTGGAAAATTTGATGTATCGTACCCTGAGCTGAAAAAAGATTCAGAGACATGATATACCTGGTGATGGGATCCCAGATAGGTCTTTCTCCACCTTTTAGAGTGTAGTCATTGGTAAAAATTCGCGTCATCGTTCTAAGCTCACTTTTCGTGATAGTTCTTGCAGACGTCACGCACACGTAATCGAGAACTTTATATATATATATATATATATATATATATATATATATACAAAATATCGCGCACTCGTGTACTCGTGGGAGGGAGGGGTCAGGTTTCGCAAGAAATTTTCCCATCCGGATAGATTTACTCAAATGCTGCTGCATGTGAATGTGCAAGTTCCGAAGGGTGGAACCTATGTATAATGCTCCACGCGAGGCGCAACTGAACTGGTGAACGGCAGTAGATTGGCAGAATTAGGGTAATCTCTGCTATGTTTGAGGATGGAACGTACTGAGAAGTCCACCAGAAGAATCCTAGGATTTAAAAAGGATCGAATTTCGATAGGAGGCTGATCAACTAGCGTTTGAGGCTTTTGAAATCTGAGCCAAAGTACGGCAGAACAAAATACTTTTGAGTTTCGGAACGTCAAAGGGACAGGACGAGGAAAGATGCCTAGAGTCGAAGAATCTACAAATCAATGAATGCATGGTGCTCAAGAGAAAGCCGTTGTCCTAGAAATGCCTCTTTAGATGCTCGATTTCAGCATGAAAGCAATGTTTAGTGGAGCTGAGATGGTGTGCTCTAAGGATGGCCGTCCATATGGAGCTAAGCTTGAGTGAATCCGGAATAAAACGGAAAAAAATCGTGCCCATCTCAGTAAAAGTAGGTTTCTGTACACTGAAGTGAGTTAACGACCACTTTCCTTGTGGATGAGGACGTCCAGAAAGGGAAGTTTGCCATCTGACTTTTCATCCATCGTAAATCTAATATTTGGACGTTTGCTTTTTACGAAATAAGGGAAAACCATCATGAGAGCTATACTTGAAAGAAGAAAATAATCATAAACACACCTGCAATAAAAGAAAGGAGAATTCGGTCGGACAGGAGCTAAGCCAGAGCTTTCCATAATAACATATGCAAATACTTGCGAATTTTGGACCCAAAGGAAGACCAATGTTGACTCGCTCTTTCTGTCCATATAACTTACGATTGAAAATGAAAAACAAATTTGTCACAGTGAGCTCAATGATAGACTTGAAACATTTAAGCGCTATTTCTAATACCTCAGCGGCTGTTTAAAACAAAGCTCAACACAAATGTCGATGGTCTCGCAAAGGAATGTTGGCAAATAAAGTAACTGCATCGAAGTTAGCCATGTTCAAAGAACATCGAACATCGAGCATCGAAGCTAGCCGTGTTCGAGGAACATTGAACATCGAGCATCGAAGTCAGCCATAGTTAGCCAAGTTAGCAATCTCATTCTACGTATGCGACTTCACTTACGACCTCATAGGAATTGCTTAAAGAGTGCTAATTTTTGAGAGGGTTGAGCTCGGGAACCAGAAATGTAGTTGGACTTTAAGCCAGAGTACCACAAACGGAGAAAGTAGATGGAGAGGGACTAGGGCCATGTGTTTCCTCGGCAAACCGCACAGAATACCGGGCGTATTCCCGAGACAAAGAGGTGCTTGTGCGCTCCATCCTTTATTAGCGATGAGCTATTTCAATTGAAACAGCGTGTATGACATGTTGGATCCAGAATCTGAGAACGTCATACATCCGTGCTTCCAGCCGTACTCCATCATTCGCACGTTTACTTCCTGACAGAATGTGTTCGAGATCTGAGAACTCGAAGTGACTGCATTGATATAATGCATCGTTGTTGAAAAATCGAAGTGATTGCATTGATATAACATACCATTGTGGGTTTTCGTCCTTTTGGTCGGATTTCATCGCAGCCGTTGTCCCGCGAAACGCGTCGTGAGCTAGATTAAGATGCACGCACGCACGCACGCACATACGCACGCACGCACGCACGCACGCACGCACGCACGCACGCACGCACGCACGCACGCGCCCACGCACCCATATATATATATATATATATATATATATATATATATATATATATATATATATATATATATGGATGCGTGCGTGCGTGCGTGCGTGCGTGCGTGCGTGCGTGCGTGCGTGCGTGCGTGCGTGCGTGCGTGCGTGTGTGTGTGTGTGTGTGTGTGTGTGTGTGTGTGGGCGCGCGCGCGTCCGGTAAGTTCAAATTCACAATATATTCACAATATGCTGCAACTGCCTGCTCGTGACATTTTGTGTATTTTCTTCCTAGATCGTCAGCAAGGACATTGACGTACCTGAGTACCAAGGAACACCACAGGAGGTTGCTACTCAGAAGTGTAAGACAGCCGCAAGCATCCTGAAGACACCTGTTGTTGTGGAGGACACAAGCCTGTGTTTTAATGCTCTTGGTGGGCTACCAGGTGAGCCAGAGGTGTTTAGTCGTACCTTTACTCCCTGACAGAATGTGCCCAAAATCTGAGTGCTCCAAGTGATTGCATTGATGTAATACATCGTTTTTTGTTTTTGGTCCTTTGGCTGGATTCCGTTGAAATAAGCGTAATTAATTTCCGTTTTGATGCACAATACTTCAAAAATGCCCCAAATGCGACCATCCCGACGTGAATAATACAAATCAACGTCTGCGTTTTACCTAGGTCCTTACATCAAATGGTTTTTAAAAACCCTGAAGCCAGATGGCCTCGTCAAGATGCTGTCCGCATGGGAGGACAAGACGGCCTACGCGCTCTGCACGTTCGCGTTCTCCCCTGGCGGTGAAAGTGATGAAGTAATATTGTTCGAGGGACGAACAGATGGCATCATCGTCTCTCCGCGAGGGCCGGCCGATTTCGGCTGGGATCCATGCTTCCAGCCGGAAGGATACAACCAGACGTATGCCGAAATGGAGAAGGATGTGAAGAACACCATATCTCACCGGCGTCGTGCACTGAGTCGGCTGAGGGAGCACTTCACCAGTGAACAAGATGGCGCTTGCAACAAAATCGCCGGCGACACAAAAGAGCCGGTAGCATGGTTCTAGCCAGGTTAAAACGGTGTCCGATTCCATGACGTGGATGAGTTTGAAACTGAGCAGGCAACGCGTTGCTCGGATAGAAAACGAGCGTGGCGAATATTCGTTGAAATATTTCGTGGCGCGTTTACTACAACTGGACGGCAGATTGTGTCCAGTTATGTCTGACGTGAAGCTTCAAGCGTATTGCCGATGTAAAAGCGGCTGTGATTTTCTGGCAGGTCCGCTAATTCACAATATGTTTAAATGTAGCTGACTGCTTGGGACCTTGCGCTCAAGCAGCCGTTGAAATGCAGGTTTGGTGCTTGTGAAGATATGTGTCTCTGCACTCCTTGCGTGCGTCTTCAAGTTTTCCGGGAAGGAACATAAGCTATCGGGACGTATGGACTAGTTTTAAGACCCAGACAGCTTGGGGCGGGGACATACATGTCAATAATACACGCGTAGTCTTACTTGCTGCTCGGACTGACAAGCATCGCCATAAGTGATCAGCGATGCAACCTGTCCTACTGCCAAAATAAACTTTATGAAGTCTGTTTTTTCCGGCTCTGTATGCGTTTTCTCTACCTAGAAACCCTGGCAACGTTACGGACTGACAGAGCAACAAGGCTTTGTCCAGGATGTGATCAGAGGAGCGAGGATAACGATTGTCGTGGTGGATTATGTAGCTAGATGATCGTGGAGAGAAAAATCTTATTCTGGCGGCAATTACTTCGGCAGTTGTACCGCATCTGCTACGTTTACCAAGTACGCGTTCTGTAAAACTTGTTGGACGGTTGCCGGCTGTTGACGGACATCACCGGCATGGGTTTCGCACTTGCTGAAAAGGTCTGAATCACCTACAGGCAATACGAAACCTGTACAATATTGGGATCGGCAGCTGCATACGGCATTATGTGTGCCTCCAACACCTTCATGTAGCTGTATGTGTCATGCAATGTCAATGAATCTCGTTTTAGCCCACACCCGTCACCCACCGAAATTGCGTCGACCAATGCGTAAAGCTGCGGCGCGCTGGCAATTTGTTTTTCATTAGGGTTTCCCATACTGACCCGTCTATTTTGCGAAGATAAAGGCCACGGACATTCCCAGCTGATTGTGTCCCGTAGCGTCACAAAACCAAAAAATCACTATCAACCTTGCAATCGCTCCACACCAGACCTGACGGCGCGGGGCGGAGCGGGACGGCATCGGACGAAACTGAACAGGGCGAACGAGTCCGGACGAGGTCAAATGAAGCCGGATGGAGCGCAGTGAGGCCAGACGAGATCGGATGAAACCGGAAGGATTGTAGTGAGTTGTCCTGTGCATCTTCGAAGAACGTTATTAACATAGATAAGGCGGTAGTAATAGCCATATTCTTCGGAGAAAAACCATGATAACAGAGATATAGATGCGTTAATAGTTCAGCAGCATGCCTTTGTAGAAATGAATAGCTGAAGAACATTATCAGCTATTCGTTGCTCCTGCCGAAGTATCCACGCATTCATATCTCCATTCTCATGGTTTTCTCCAACAAACAAGGCTATTACTACTGTCTCATCTATGAAAACCTAATAAGGTCAGACGGGGCCGTAGGACACCGAACGGACCGGACCGGACGGACCGGATGGGATCAAACAGACGCGGAAGTGACCATGCCAAACTGGATAACATCAGACGATATTTGACACCAAAGGGCGTGACCAATGCAAACCACACGGGACAGAGCGAGGCCAGGCGGCTCCGGGCAGAGCCAGGTGAACCGAGACGGGACCAGGCAAGACCGAAAAACACCGGTCCGGACCCGATAATCGAGCGTGGGACTGAGCGGTGCCGGATGGGACCGGCCGTAGCTAGATGGGATCAGATGGGACTGGATGGGACTGGACGGGATAGAAAAGCACTGAACAGTACTGAACAGCATCGAATCGGACCAGACCAAACCAGACGGGACCGGGCGGACCAGACCGGCCCCGCCTGGTTCCGCCGGCCCTTTGCCGGTCCCGTCCGGTCCCGCTCTGTCCCGTTCTGTCCCTTGTTGTTCCTGCTGGACAAGGCCCTTGCCGTTCGATCCCGTTCCATCACGTCAGGCCATGTCTGATCCCGTCGGGCTCCGTCAAGACTCATCCGGTCCCAGGTCGCGTCCGACAACAGACCTGATCCCATCAGGTCTGGTTAAGCCTCATCCATCACCGTCTAGTCCCGTCTAGTCTCATTTGGTCCCAGCTTGTCTTGTCTGGCTTCATCAAGTTTTATCCGGTTTCGTCTAGTCCCATACTGAAGCGGGACTAGTTCAGTCCGGGACTAATCTAGTCTGGCTTCCTTCAACCACGTCCGATGTCGCTCGATTTCATCTGATCGCGTCCGGTTACGTCTGGTCCCGTCCGGTCCAGTCTGGTTCATTTGATCCCGTCCGGTCCTGCCCGGTTCTGCCAAGTCCGGACCTATCTTGTCCAGTTCTGTTCCGTCCAGTCACGTTCGGCGCCGCACGATGCCGTCTGGTCCTCTCTGGTCCCGTCCGGTCTCATCTGGTCCCCTACGATCTCGTTCGCATTCGCCCGGTGCCGTCCGGGCTGGTCCCACGATAATGTATGGTTCCGTCCGGTCCGCTCCGGCTCCGTCCTGTCCCATTCGGTCCCGATCGGTTCCTAGCGTTCACCGCCCGCCTGCTGGGTGCCACACGTGCGACAGAAGTACACAGAAGTAAGTTTTTGGTTTTGTGACGTCATGTAAAAATCAGCTGGAACTGACAGCGACAGTCACTCTCCTTAAGCCCCAATCAGCTTACGTTTCAGTCAGTTTTCGGTCAGTCCTAAAAATGCACGACCAGTGACGTCACATACCCAGTCGAATATCAGTGACATCATATCAGTAGCGAAAACCTTATGGCCTTCAGTCGGCCCAAAAGAACCGCGATCCCGATCGATGCAAAACAGTTTTCAGTGACGTCACAATGTCAGCTGATGCCTCACGGTATTTCCCCAGCGCGACAGTACACGAAACCCTGCAGTCAGCCTGCAGCCTGTATTATGTTGGTGTTGTGCTGCCCCGGCGGTCAGCGCACTCCTCCCTCCGTCGGCCGTACAGGTACCGAAGTAAAAAATAGCTGCAATCTGCAATTTGCTGAGTAAAGCATGAATGATCGTGAATGAATAATGCTTGATATCATGTGAATATATTCCCACTATACAAGATATATAAATGCACAGCCATTATACGCGGTACATATCAGGCATTCATTTGTTAATTTTTGGGTATGGGTGCTGATATTTGTTGGCTGTGTTCAGCATTGCAAGGGTGCATGCATATATTAATTAACTAGCAGGTGGGAAGCTGTTAATCTGGTTGTGCCAGTGTCAGGTGACTGATGTTAGTGTTATTTTTCATTTTAAGTGTTACAATGAAGAAACCCACACATATGGGAAAATTGCATTGTATTGCCTGACTGGTCTTATGCTTATATTTTCTGTACAGGTATGTTTGTGAGTTATCCATACAGTCTATTGTTTTAGGGTCACCTGGATAATTACATTAGCTACACTGCCTTAATTAAGCTTTAGAGTGCAACTAGAGCAACAGAGACTTGTTAATAACTTCTCAATTGCATTGCTGATGGAAACAATTCATTCTGAAAGCAGGCATAAGATATGCAAACAAACACACCATATATGCAAGCTGGTAAAATTCACCTCACCTGTACCATGTGCATGGTCCCAGACAACACAGCATTCAGTTGCCACAATTATCACACTATTGTAAATTTTTGTTGCCTGTCTAATAACAACTAATTCATTCTTCCATAATGATAATGTCCCATGATTGGTTGTTTTGGAAATGAATTAGTCAGAGGTGATGCAATCATTGACAGCTTTCAATGGGACATTACTTACCTCCATAGTGAGCTATGCATTGCAAGTTTAATAGGAAGCATAGAGAAGTATTGTGTTTAGCAAAACTAGCTATCTGATTGATCATTGCCTTCTCAGATGCCAACAATTTGATGGCTTGCCATGGCCAGACTGTTACGAAACTTCCGCTATCGACGCCTGAATGATCCAGTAGACCAAGCCAACATCAGCTATGGCCTCATCCTGGAGAGCATCCTGGCACTGGACGAGGACTTCTATCTGTTCCCAGAGAGCTATGTGCCCTCTCTCCAGACAATCTGCATCAAATCAGTGCTGCGGCAGAGTAGTGAGCTGTTCGCCCCCTACACCAGCTGCACCGGCGAGCAGCTGCTGCGGGAGCTGCCGCCGGGCCCGTTCGACCGCCTGCCGCCGCCACTATGTGACCTCCTGTGTGACCTTCTGCTGTGGCTGCGCGACCCGCAGAGCTGCAGTGTACCACTCTACTGCGTGATATCGCCCTACACGCGCTGTCTGTGTCTGCGCGAGCCGCTGTCGGACGCCTGGGGCGTGCCCGTGGAGCGGCTGCTGGCTGCCCGCACGTGTCACCTGGTCGAGGTGACGTGGACCGGCGCGCCGGTGACGGCAGACCTGTTGACGCTGCTTGGCGACTCGCCGCGGCTCGCCGTGTTCGTCACGGACGAGGCGTTGGCGGGCGAGTACGTCGCGCGTCTGCTGGCCCGCTGCCCAGAGCTGCGCGTGCTCCAGCTGCGCGACCGGGGCTGCGTGATGACGTCGCTGTGCCGGCGTGACGTCACGCACCCGGCGCTGCGAGACCTACGGCTCGTGGTGGACGACATGGCGGACGTGGCGGCGGTGGCGCGCGTGTTCGCAGGTCTGGAGCGGCTGCTGGTGCGCCCGCATTCAGGCAAGCCGTGGGCGATGCTCGCCTGCACCCCGACGGAGCCGTGGTTCCATAGCCTGGCCGTGCTGTCGCTGTCGGAGTGCACGGACGTCGGTCTGCTGGACACACCGCTGGCCGCGCTGGAGACGCTGACGCTAGACCGGTGCGGCTTCCAGCCGCGCCACCTGGGCCTGCACCCACGCCTGCGAAGCCTCAGAGTCGTGTGCTGCCGTCGGGCCGAGCGCTGGGACCGTGGCGAGGGCGGCGCGCCTCTCGCGCCGGCCGTCGACACGCTGAGCGTGGTGTGCCACTGCGAGGACGGCGGCCCGCTGCTGACCGCCGTCGGCGCTGCCTTCCCGCGCGTGCGCCACCTCGCGCTGGGTGGCGACGTGCGCGCGGCGCCCGGCGCGCCGGCTGGCTTCGCGGCGCTTAGCCGGGTGCAGCTCAGCTGGCGCAGCTCGGTGCTGGGCGAGCAGGCGCTGGCGGCGCTGCCGTTGGAGCAGCTGCGCGAGCTCAGTCTGCAGTACCAGGCGGAGGACGACGCGCCGCTGGCGCTCTGTGCGCTGCGGCGCTGCCGCCAGCTGTCGGCGCTGGAGCTGGAGGGCTTCAGCGGCGTCTCGGTACCGCTTGACCTGCGGCTGCCGGCCGTGCGCCAGCTGCGGCTGCGCGGCGGCACGTGTCGTCCGCAGATGGTGCTGTGGCTGCGCCGCTGCCTGCCCAGTCTAGAGGGGCTCCTGCTGGTCAACATGTACATCGTGACCGAGGCATGGACGCCGCTGTTCCGCGAGCTGCGCGCCGCCGGCGTGGCCGTGGACCTCGAGGGCGGCTGCACGATCCCGCCCTGGCGACGCAGCTGCATCCGAGTGGCGTCGGCCGAGTGCTGACCTCATTAGAGCGATGCTAGTCAACTGTAAATGTGATGCTACGCTTAGGCTTGGATGGCTATGCCATGTGCAGCGATGCCTTTGTAGGCGAGGATTGTGCTCATTACAGCGTTACTACGATGTTTTTAACGTCGGAAGCTTTTTGAGACGTGTGCTTTCGTAACTAATGTGTGTGCACTAATCGTTGGTGTGTGCAACTCTGCGGTGATCACTTCTGCGGATCTTAGCATCTTGTGAAAAACAGTCACTGATATACTGAGATACAGACTAAACGACGGAACACATTCTGTTGGCACCGTTGTCCCGGAAGGGAAGCTGCGTGAGGAGAACCCGAAACCGGTATGGACGTCTGCCCCAGCATCTAATGTACCTTTGCAGTTTCCATGAGCACCCGCAGCATCACCATAAATGATTCGTAGAAGATAAGTTGTCAACAACCTTTTCGTGCTTTTATGTCGGGAACTTTGTTCAATTCAAAGCCATTTGTGCTCGAAACATTTAGTCATGGCAGCGAGATGGCAACGTTTTGCAGCTTCAATAAACTGTTGCACTTTTGTCATTGAAGTAGGATGAAGATGTGAATGATTGTGGCTCGTTCATGTCGGTATGAAAAACGCAGGGGGGGGGGGACCAACAAAGCTGGAGTTCCCCATCTTGCGGAAGACGGTTTGGTGTCCTGAAGCAGTCTTTCCTGTCGCGGTTTTCATGGTGTGCGTTTTCACACGTAAATGTCAATCGCAAATGCCGTGACAGGGGTGTCACTTTCTAAAATTGGTTAGGAGAGGGGTGTTCAGCCGATAAGGTTGATCTAACCTACGCCCAAACCCGGTTTCATCACATGAATTTGCGCCGTCCGGATGTTAAAACGAGCAAAATTGTCTAGTCTTGGAATGAAAACTTTCTGCGAAGAAAGGAATTCCCATCCCGCGTTAATGTGAGCTGCCTTTTTGTGAAAAGCTTAGAGCGGAGCGTAATTGATATGTAAAATATCTTGAGAGGGATCACTGACAACCACCGCTGTCGCTGATAGTGTTGTATGACTACCACAGCCACAGTTTTGCAACGAATACACTTGACATTGTTGTGGAAAACATGCGGTACCATTGACTTGGGCCATCCTCTTTTTTAAAGCTGCCGCATATTGCAGCCAAATGTTCTTGGCGCATTTCCAGGTTTTATCATTTGAAAAACTTTGTATCTGTTCGAGGGTCTGTAACTTTTTGAGGGTCTGCGGTGTTATGTCAACTTACACTTCTTGAATGCCCTTCATGCTTACTCGCATGTCTGGAGTCTGGAGCACCCGCATGTCTTCATGCTTATTTGCATACCCACGCTTGTTTGGATATGGACAGGAGACACAGAATGTGCTTGTGCGCTTGTGCTTGTGCCAGCGCCAGGTAGACCATCAGTCATCGAAAGTAAAATTAATCGAGTTTTTTGTGTGCCCTTTCACTTATGGACACGATAATCGCTTGTTCTGCTGTCGTGGGTCAGGGCGGTAAAGTACTCAGATGATCAGCCGCGAAATAACCTCACGTTAGGCTTTACATGCCTGAATGATCGCCCACTCTAGTTTGATTGAGCCTTTCCATGCGCACACAACCACGTGATCAAATCTCGTCGAGGCCGAACGGGCGAGACATTTCCTTATAAGAGATGATACATAATATGCTACAACCATGCGGTAGACAACACAAATTAAGATGAGTGGCATGTTAAGCGGGCGTATCCCATTCAAGCCTCCCTACAGAGCTTTGCAAATTTCTTTTTTAGCTCAGCGGGATCTGCGGAGCGTCACCATGTCGAGTCACAACAGTTCCCCACAGTGATTGCGAAGTCGATGAATCTACCAAAGCCGACGAGGTTTCGCACATACACCGCTCCAGGGTAGATTTTCAAAGAGGGAGACAGCACACACTGCAGGAAGCGGCCAGGGCATCAGACTGGGAATGCAGGACGGCGACGTCCATGACATCAATGGCCAAAGTTTATGGGATGCTCGTAAGTACAAAACAAGTGGGCAGGTCGTAGTCAATGAATCATGGCCTCAATATTTCTAATGCCTCATCGGTGGTACGGATGTGTCCAAAACTTTCGCTGCATACCATTCATGTCACGGGTACGCCGCAGTGCGGGTGCGGCTGAACTGTTGCAATATTCTGCGCGATTTTTGTTGCGTTTGGATGCTTGCTCCAATGTCATTTTTCGCAGCATGCGTTCTGGCTGAAACTGCCTCTTAAGGTAATCTATCTAGGTCTACATGATTTCTTCCTGTTATATGAATGACTGCATTTACAATAAAGAACGCAGTTGTGATTATTTGAGTCGTAATAGTTACTCCGTTCTTATTCGGCACAGCGCTGATCCAAGCATCGGTATTCACGTTGCTATGCTGCTTTTAAGCACCGGCTCATCTTCAATGCAGGATACAACGCCTTACCCAAATCACCGCCCTGGCTCCGACCCAATTACACCATCTCCGGTTCACGTGCACTCGTTGGGCAACTCTCCACCCCGGGGACACGGCGCGATACGTCAGCATCACCGCGTCTGATCGACGACCGACAGGCGAGGCTATCGCAACAACTGGCGGCCGTTTGGTGGAGGCGTCGGCACCGGCACCTTCTCCCGCTAAACCAGGTCAGCGCCCGTTCGTCGTGCGCCGGCAGGCCGTTTCAGTGTTGAATGACCGCGTCCCTGACCCACCAGGGCGGCGCAGGGCGGCCGGCTGCCGTGTCGGCGCGCCGTTGTCGACCGGACTACAGGGTCATCCGCCGCTGACCCGGGGGACGGGGGGGGGAGGACCCGCTCCCGTTGCTCGACCCCCGCGAGATCCGACGCGGCGCCTTCGTCGGCCGCGTGGCTGCTGCGCCAGCTTCTGAACCCCGGGAGGGCGCGGCCCGCTTTCAGCGCCCGCGGCTAGAGATTCGGGCGAGGATGGGCGGCCGCGCTAACGTGACACGTTGTCGGATTCCCAAATCAGTGTTGAGTGGGACGATGCAGGCCGCGTACTTGGTTTGGTGGGCGCCCTGCAGTTGGCATGCCTACGTGTTGTCACAAATTTCGGAACCCACGTCGACATGGATGCGGACACAAGGGAGCCGTCACCATAAGCGAGTGCTGTCAGCTATGCAAATAAAATAGTGCTACACAACCGATTCGTTCGTTCGGTGGTACGAAAGTGTCAGCGGTAAAATATGAAGATCCACAAATAACGCAGCTCTGCTGTACTTAACTCCACTGCTCAATCAACTTTCGCAATCTTGGTTCACTGAGCACAGCGCTGAACGTTCTTTAAACAGCAGAATTAGTATAACTTACATAAAGCGAGCTAGTCGTGCATTCCATTTGGATGATGCCTATGTGAGCTTAATGATGACTCGCAAGCTTTCTTGAACGGGAACAGCGCCTCCGGATTCTACCCCATGTCAGGGTCACACAGTGTCTTCAGTGAACACACAGGTCAGCCGTATAAATATTTTACGACTACCCTAGGTTTTTGAGACATGTTGAGGAGGCACAGACACAAATAAACGTTGATGTTGAACTAGTGTCGTTGTGGCGTTATTCTCTCTCAATTGATGGAAAACGTCCTCAACGGTACCGCACCGACAAAGGACACAAGCTAGTATTGGAGTCCTGCCGCGCCATGACACCCAATAAACTTGACAGCGAAACAACGGCTAATTTGTATTTATCATGCAGTTGAATGCCTTAAATCGCTTAATTGCGGCTCGCCACTTAAATCACGGGGAAGAAATGAACCAGCGTCGAAAAGCAGCAGCCTTTAGTCGTCCTGTGAATAGATGCACTCAGCTCGTGTATGAATGAGGCTTAGTGCGCTTACCGGCAGACTTCTGCTCGACTCCTAGTTTTTGAGCCAGCTCAGGACCGACACGCACATTCTGGGATCCGATTCAGCTCATGACTCATAATCGCTCCAACTTTTTGTATTCAGCTCAGTTCAGACTCGTCACTTGCGTTGAATCGTTTGGCTCATGACTCAGGCGATTTGCAAAATCAGTGATCCGATTCAGTTCTGGCTCGTTACCTTATGACTCATTAATTTGTATATATATATATATATATATATATATATATATATATATATATGCATACATTATGCATATGAATCCATGTATACATTACATCTCATGTCTTGGAAATCAAACACAAAAAGCCCATTAGCAAGTTATACTGGCTGAGCAAATTGTAGCACTTTTTGTTCGTTTCGCAAAAAGCTTGATAACTAAAGCTGCATGCCGTTCATTTTAACACTGAAATGGTCTGCTATTTTGTCTTGGGCGTGCTGTGTTTCTTCATGTTACCATTTTAATTTGATCCGTATGACTAAGTGGCATGAAATTGTTAGAACTGATCGGCTCACAATTTAGCTCATGAAATTTTCAAATGAGGTTATTTAGCTAATGGCTGGAAGCGACAAAGCAGCATGATCTTAGACTATAGACTTGCTGATCTCAATGCAAGTTTATCCGCATTCCAATGCCGAACATCTTTCATCAGTAACATATCACTGACATTGTCAAAACGCATGTCCAGATCATTCGACGCGCGCAGGGAAAGCTTTAACGGGTACCACGTTTATTCTGTACGCGCTATTGATGATTAGGTTGCGGTGTTTTCCCCTGAACAGTTTTGCAACTCGAGTATTAGCGCTTGTGCCAAATGAAGAAAAAAAACGCGCCAAATGTGGATAATTCAGGTGAACGTGACGTTGCATTATGCTCGACCCCCACCCCGTTCTGCTGCATCACCATTGTTAATGAGACTTGCGTTTGATTCCGCTCCACTGCACAACAATTGATTCCACTTCGGATCCACATAATCCTGCACTGTTTCCGCATCTGATTCCAGGTCGTGCAGTGCAGTCATGAGTCAATGCCCATTTTAGCTCAATGAGATACCGATTGGTTCTGGAATTAATTCCGATGAAGATTCCGATAGCAAAAGCTTTCATGCCCCGTCAATAACACAAACAAGGACTGTCAGAATAAGAATTTGCCGCCGAAAACCCTCCCCAGCTACGTTGTGCTAAACACAACGTCCCAAAGGTGTAACGTCTCTTAACCGTGTGACCCATTAAGGTGCCAAACATCTAGCTCAATAATTATTAGGCTATGTGCGCGAACCAAACGCAGACATGTTGCTTGCCATGAGAGGAAGCTTACAATATCCAGTTTTAAGGTTTTATGACATTTTAAAGAAGACTTAAGCGTGACACGCGATCACATCTGAGCGTAATGACCCATCCGCCCTCCACCTCGTTGCGGTTCAGTTACGATCCACCAAAGTCTCCCTACCACTCTGCCAAGATCAAGCCCACGCAGCTCCGACCCACCACACACGCAGCTTAAAAATAAGCGACTCCAACCTGACTAGCAACATTTGGCCCATTCCGGAATCAGCTCCGACTCCCGAGTCTTTCTCGCCCCGAAGTGGTCTTCCCAAACACGTGAATGTCACGATCGTGAACTAAAGTGACAACACATGCAGACAACTAGTAAAAGTCTCTGGTCACGCCAGACCATGCGATGTGCAATGAGCCATTTCATTACTGGAGATGATTCAGACTGAGACAGATTTACCGCTGCGGCCGTGCCAACCCATCAACATGTAAATGGTGGTGCATCACCTAGGTCAGGTGGCCCACACCCGGCAAACCCACGCTGCACACCCTTTCAATGGCCGTGCCAATGTCAGGGCTACACGGTATGCTGGGTACATAAGCCATGGGGTCTGCACGGCAGATCATCAGTTGCTCGACGATCATCTCATCCCGCAGACATGCAGCTTGTGAGTGAGACTAAGCAGAGCTTCGGTCTCTCCGCACACCTATTGGTGGGATATTAATTGTCACGAGATGCTTCAAGAAAAGGAGAAACATGCAGGAGCCTTTATTGAATCTTCATTTCCATGACGTTAGATTCTTGGTTGTGATCAGTCAACGCATTTGTGCATGAGTATAGGTCGTTGGAAGAGGGAGGGGGGGGGGGCGATGCGGTTCGAACGCCGCACCTTTAAGTCCAGGTTCTCATAGTAGTGATACCAACGCGCCATCTGCAGCTGCTTTGTTATGCGGAGCAGACACCACTCGCCGACCCATTCTCAACCGCACCTGAGTGTCTGTCCCATTCCCACGTTGTCATCGACCGATTGGCTGCCCCCCCCCCGCAGTCCATCCCGCACAGCTCCGCCTCACCCCCCACACCCCCCCTCGTTTCAGATCGTGGCCTTCGCCGTGCTGGCCGTAGTGGCCGCTGCGCCCCAGTACAGCGCGCCGCAGCAGGGGTACGGCGCGCCGCAGTCGTCAGCGCGTGGCACCGCACAGGGCCCCGTGTACGCCTCAGGGGGCGCCAACCTGCGCTCGGCCGCGCAGGGCCGCGACGCGCAGGCGCGCACCCTCAGCGAGGAGAACATCAACAACGGCGACGGCACGTACCAGTTCAGGTCAGCAGCCACGGCCTTCTGTGCCCTGCAGACGAACTAGTGCAACGCAAGTATGCAGCTTTAACATCATCACTATCTTTCAGACGGTTTTTCGTGAGCGTCGTTTGTGGCTCTCGTTTGATGCACATTAGCTCTGCTTCAGTATGGGACACCATACTCCTTTGGGCGCGTTCTCGTCTAAGTCTTTCGACAAACGGAGCGCCGGCCTGCCAAGTGTGCTGCGCGAAAATCGCTCAGAGTCTACGGCGTTGGCGATCGAAGGACGCTTTACATGCGCCCCACCATAGGGGGCTGCACAAGTTACCAGTACGCCTACTGACGTTAGTTCAAGACAAATGCCTTAACTTTTTACAGCACCATTATCCTATGTACTACCGCCCTGGTATCACCACGAGCGCTTAGGTCATCGATACCCACCCATCGTTTGACCCATGGAGGAGCGCGTCGTCCAAGCGTCACGGGCGCGTGCTGCAGTGCGCTCACTCGTGTCCCCGTCCGACAGCTTCCAGACGGACAACGGCATCAGCCGTGACGAGCAGGGTGACGCCAACCAGGTGACGGGCAGCTACAGCTACACGGGCGATGACGGCGTGCCCGTCTCCATCTCGTTCGTGGCCGACGCCAACGGCTTCCAGCCGCAGGGTGACGTGCTGCCGACGCCTGTGCCCACCGAGTACCCGACGCCCGACGTGCCGCTCAGCCCCGAGGCCAACCCCAACTTCGCCGGCCGCGGCCAGGCCCAGCCCTCGTACTCGGCGCCCGCCGCGCCCAGCCGCTTCTACGGCGCCGCCTAGTGAGCGCGCGCGCGCGATTGTTGCGGCACACGGCCCGCGGCCCCCGCCGGACGCGAGGTGGCGCCGGCGGGGCCGGGGTGGCGGTACGTCGGGCAGTTCTATCTGTTGTCCGGTCTTGGCTGCTGGGGTCAGTGGTTCCGGAGGCTATGGTGCGGGTGCCGTTTCTGAATGTGAGGTCGTGATTGCTACCGACGCTGGCGAATGTCGCTGCACTGTTCCGCTTGGCGTTGGTAGCTTGAGCGTTTTTTTTTCTGTGTCCACGTGCGTATTTGTTGTATGAAGCCTGTATCTGATTACGTTTGCACTTCTACAAATACAACTAATGCTGCGATATAAGCTTTTATATCTGACATTGATTCAAGGTCTTCAGGTCTTCCTGACTTACTGACATCCCGTAGGAAGTGGTAAACCCGAGTGGGCTCTTACAACGGTTTTGATGTATCCGTGCTTTCTAAGGACCCGCTGCTTTCTGAGAGCAGTGTGATCAGCATACATTCCGACAACAAGCACTAACCATACATACGCTGTAGAGCGCAAATGGCTGAAACATCTGCTGATCTTCTTTCTCTTTTTGGAGCTTTCTACCACTGTATGCAGTATATATTAATAAGTATCACGGAGACCTTCAAGAACGCCATGCACCATCATTTAGCAGGCTCTTAGAGAACTGAACCATTCTATTGATGCGCCAAGAGCTGAAGGCCTTTCTTGGTTTTATCAAGGATTTACTTATACAGTAGCAAACTTTTGAAGTTTGGTCCGTTTATTCCATCAAATATGCTTCGGGATCAGCACCAACACTAGGTAGTGCTTGTTGCGTGAGTTCTGTCGGGTCAACGGCAGGCCACGGCTGTCAACAAAGGGAATTTCTAAGGAATTGTTCTATGTGATGCAACAACGGAGTGTGAGACAAAACCATACCTACTGATATAGTATTTTAGGCCATCAACCAAATGGACTTGTGATTATAACAAATTCCATATACCTTTGGTCATTTATGAAGGTCAGACCGAGGTTAAAACTGACCTGCTTTTTTACTTGAGTGATTGGTTTTATGGGATAGATTCTGGTGCTTTATGAATGACGAGGACCACGAGAGACATTTTCAATGGACATATTTAGGGTCAGAGTAGGTCACTAACACAATATGACAAAGGTTATCATTCTGCTTGTAGGAACATGCTGCCTAGCGTAATCCCTGACACTTATCCGAATGACGAAAAGTAAGCAATCTCCTAGGTAATTGCTCACCTTGACCACATAAAGATTAAACAAGAAGCTGATCTCATTGATTTTTGGCTTAAAACAGGCACCTACCTTCGCAGCGGCTGACTGACGTCTGGGACACCCGACATACTAATCTGGGGTTTGACCTTGTTGAACCTTATCTGAACTGAAGGTCATAGCCTAGGAACTGCAAATTTGGACACAAGTGAGTTCATGTACAAGCCAATCCACCCTGCGAACTTGATCTCTCTATCTATCTTAATTTTTAAGATCTCAGGGGGTCAAAATGACCCCGACCCGAGCGAAGGGGATTCCATCAGCCACCTGGGCACGTGCTAAGAGAGTAAAAGCTTCAATGCCCCGTCAATTACACAAGCAGGAACTGTCAGAATAAAAAAATGACCGTTGTTACTTCGGGCCGTCCACAAATTACACCAAGCATTTTGGGCCGCTTTCCAATTCTTCTTCTCCTGGATACACACACGTTACATCGGGAAAAAACCTTCCCCAGATATGCTGTGCTTAACATAACGTCACAAAAACGTAAAGGTGCCAAACCTATAGCTCAGTAATTACTTAGCTGAAAGTACGAACCAAATAAGGACATGCTGCTTTCCATGACAAGGGGCCTGCAGTATCCGGCTTTTAGGTTTTATAACATTTTAAACAAGGCCTAATCGTGACTTGCAGCCTCACGTGTCACGACCCGTCAGCTCCGCGCCCTGTTATCGTTCAGCTACGCTCCATTAAAATCTCCCTGCCGCTCTGCAACACATTCACGTCACTGTATACCACATACATCACTGCATGCATTACAGTCACAATCTCCTGGCGCATACTCATGCTGACGGGCGAGTTATTCATCGATAAATCACTCTCATAAACATCAAGCACAGGCAGCGAGGGGCCCTCTGACAATGAAAGGACACATGAGAGCTCGCGATGAATTTTCACATTGAGGCAATAGAAAGGTCCTGTGCCAGTCAGAGCCCCGAGTACAAAATGATGGGCCTTCCAGCCCAATTCCAGCATGTGCTCTCTAAAATGAACGGAAATCTATGTGGCAATGATAGAACCATCGACGGTGATCAGGGATGTCGTTGCGCCAGTGATGGTTCCTGCGTCGATGCGGGGTCAGCTGCGGTGTGCACGGGCCAGGTCTCCCGTGTCAGGAAAGGTTCCAATGTAATATGATGTAAGAGCCTCCGGAGCGACCAGGGGACACCGCCCCATGTCGCCAGAATGGCAGACAGAAGATACCCCGCCGTGAGACGGCATGACCCTTTAGACCTTGACCGGAAACAATAATGCACCCGCCCCGATGTTCTACTCAAGGGGACCCACTTCCCGAAAAGAAATAAGAGGCCTCATTAGTGTCGAATAAAGGGGGTAGAAATTAGTTAAGAAATGAGCAAGGCTTGTTCATGTTGGCCTAGAACGTCTAGTCTTTTACAGAATCGACTAATCAAACAAATTTTGAAAAAGTTTGAGGCTGCGCGCCCGCAATCTTGGAAGCAAGGACAGTGATGGCCTGGGTTACAGTTTTCGTAAAACAGAACGGCGTTGGCCGCTGCAAGTAACATCGGGCTGCGAGTGCCGTGCGCGCGGGAGCGACCATTGTGGAATAATGCTTCCAAATGCCTTGAAAAAATTGATTCGTACGGTCCAAAGATTAGGCCCGGCACATTTCTTTTTATAACTCTGGGGTGGTCCTTTGGACAGATTAACAGCTGCAACAAGACGATCAATAAAGACTCTTCTTTCACTCCCCTAGTTCTACCAGCCGATTCCAGCACAACTTTGAGGTGCTGTTAAGGCAAATCCATTCAATCCATCACCGTAAAATTCGCATAGTTAAAGTATACGCCCAGCTACCTTTTAGATGTGCGAACTGAAATCATCAAGTGTAAAGAGGCACTTTCTTCCAATGCCTCATCATTTTCGTTCGCACGTTGGCCACGGCTTGGTGTTAGACGCCGGGCCGACGCTGCGCGGTTTACGGAGACTGCAGTACCTGGCATCGAGGTTTTCTTGCTACGCTTTGCGAACACCCATGCTCTAAACTACGCTACAGAATTTGTATAATTAATCAACCCAGGCTAAATGTTAAATGTTTCCAGGAAAACATAGTCGAGCTGTGCTCGTACAAGTTTTTGACCATTTCGATTCACATTCGCGGCGTCCTTAATATCTCTATACAGCCAAGGCCAAGGTCAGACAATGCCTCTGAGTTCTCTCGATTTAGAATGAGCCCACTGGACCATTGTAAAAAGAAGAGCGCCGGTGATCTACTTCATGCAGTCGTTTGTGGCATAAATTCTCCAGTCACTGACTGGCAACACTGGGACATAATTGATCACGCGGTGACTTTTGTGTTCTTTTTCAGTTGTAGAACTTACAAATGAAAAGAATATAAAAGACAATTGTGCTATTATCAATAAATGGGCCATGTTCGAGGAGCTTTGGTTTGGAAGGCGGATTTGATATCAGGGGCCCCTTGTCAGCCATGTGCACCACCCTTGCCAAGGCTCTGGCTCTGCGCCTGGTCAGTTGGCCCATACCCGGCAAACCCACGCTGCACACCCTTTCAATGGCCGTGCCAATGTCAGGGCTACACGGTATGCTGGGTACATAAGCCATGGGGTCTGCACGGCAGATCATCAGTTGCTCGACGATCATCTCATCCCGCAGACATGCAGCTTGTGAGTGAGACTAAGCAGGGCTTCGGTCTCTATGCACACCTACTGGTGGGATATTAATTGTCACGAGATGCTTCAAGAAAAAGGAGAAACATGCAGGAGCCTTTGTTGAATCTTCATTTCCATGACGTTAGATTCCTGGTTGTGATCAGTCAACGCATTTGTACATGAGTATAGGCCGTTGGAAGAGGGAGGGGGGGGGGGCGATGCGGTTCGAACGCCGCACCTTTTAGTCCAGGTTCTCATAGTAGTGATACCAACACGCCATCTGCGGCTGCTTTGTTGTGCGGAGCAGACACCACTCGCCGACCCATTCTCAACCGCACCTGAGTGTCTGTCCCATTCCCACGTTGTCATCGACCGATTGGCTGCCCCCCCCCCGCAGTCCATCCCGCACAGCTCCGCCTCACCCCCCACACCCCCCCTCGTTTCAGATCGTGGCCTTCGCCGTGCTGGCCGTAGTGACCGCTGCGCCCCAGTACAGCGCGCCGCAGCAGGGGTACGGCGCGCCGCAGTCGTCGGCACGTGGCACCGCACAGGGCCCCGTGTACGCCTCAGGGGGCGCCAACCTGCGCTCGGCCGCGCAGGGCCGCGACGCGCAGGCGCGCACCCTCAGCGAGGAGAACATCAACAACGGCGACGGCACGTACCAGTTCAGGTCAGCAGCCACGGCCTTCTGTGCCCTGCAGACGAACTAGTGCAACGCAAGTATGCAGCTTTAACGTCATCACTGTCTGACGGTTTTTCGTGAGCGTCGTTTGTGGCTCTCGTTTAATGCACATTAGCTCTGCTTCAAGTCGGGACACCATACTCCTTTGGGCGCGTTCTGGTCTAAGTCTTTCGACAGACGGAGCGCCGGCCTGCCAAGTGTGCTGCGCGAAAATCGCTCAGAGTCTACGGCGTTGGCGATCGAAGGACGCTTTGCATGCGCCCCGCCATAGGGAGTTGCAGAAGTTACCAGTACGCCTACTGGCGTTAGTTCAAGATGAATGCCTAAAGTTTTCAAAGCACCATTATCCTATGTACTACCGCCCTGGCATCACCACGAGCGCTTAGGTCATCGATACCCACCCATCGTTTGACCCATGGAGGAGCGCGTCGTCCAAGCGTCACGGGCGCGTGCTGCAGTGCGCTCACTCGTGTCCCCGTCCGACAGCTTCCAGACGGACAACGGCATCAGCCGTGACGAGCAGGGTGACACCAACCAGGTGACGGGCAGCTACAGCTACACGGGCGATGACGGCGTGCCCGTCTCCATCTCGTTCGTGGCCGACGTCAACGGCTTCCAGCCGCAGGGTGACGTGCTGCCGACGCCTGTGCCCACCGAGTACCCGACGCCCGACGTGCCGCTCAGCCCCGAGGCCAACCCCAACTTCGCCGGCCGCGGCCAGGCCCAGCCCTCGTACTCGACGCCCGCCGCGCCCAGCCGCTTCTACGGCGCCGCCTAGTGAGCGCGCGCGCGCGATTGTTGCGGCACACGGCCCGCGGCCTCCGCCGGACGCGAGGTGGCGACGGCGGGGCCGGGGTGGCGGTACGCCGGGAGGTTCTATCTGTTGTCCGGTCTTGGCTGCTGGGGTTAGTGGTCCCGGAGGCTATGGTGCGGGTGCCGTTTCTGAATGTTGAGGTCGTGATTGGCTGCCAACGCTGGCGAATGTCGCTGCACTGTTCCGCTTGACGTTGGTAGCTTGAGCGTTTTTTTCTGTGTCCACGTGCGTATTTGTGGTATGAAGCCTGTATCTGGTTACGTTTCCACTTCTACAAATAAACTGATGCAGCGATAAAATATTTTATATTTCACACTCACTGAAGGTCTGCTTAACCTTCTGACGTCCCGTAAAGAGTGGTAAACCCGAGTGTACACTGACAGCGGTGTTGATATCTCCGTGCTTTCTGATGACCCGCTGCTCTCTGAGGGCAGAGAGATCAACAGACATTCCGCCAGTAAGCACCCATCATTGATGCACCGTATAGGGAGTGCATGACTGAAAGGTACCCCGATGTCCTGTTCGTCGGGTCCACATAATATCATGGAACTGATTTGGGCTCTGAATCCGGGTTGTACAGCAAAGTCGCATGTCAATTCCGATTTAAGCTCACGGTGATATTGTATGGCTGTGGGATCAAGTCCGATGAAACCGATTCCAGAGAAAAGATTGTGAGAAAAAAAGCTGTTTTACATACAGAGCACAAAATGACACGAGTAGCACATTTATAGTGCTAACACAGCAATAGTTTTCATGTCTCCCCAATTACACAGCCAAGAACTGTGAGAGAAAAATGGCCGCTGTTTCTTCGGATCATCCATAACCTACGCTACGCATTTTGAGCCATTTTTCAATCCTCCTCCTAGATACACACAAGTTACACCGGGCAGGAACCTTCCCCAGCTACGCTGTGCTAAACATAACGTCCCAAAGGCGTAAGGTCCGTGAACCGTTGGACCCATTGAGGTGGCAAACCTCCAGCTCAGTAATTGTTGAGGTGGAGTTGCGAGCCCGAGGCGGACATGCTGCTTGCCATGACAGGGAGCCTACATTATCCCGTTTTAAGGTTTTAAACGTTTTAAAGAAGACTTAAGCACGACTTGGAAATACAAGTGAGCGTAATAACCCATCCGCCCTCCTCTTTGCATGGTTCAGTTACGCCCCATCAAAATTCGCCCCCCCCCCCCCTCCTCTCCACTCTGTAATCGACGGACGTCACTGTATACTATATACGGCGCTGTATAATGTATGTCGCTGTCACAATATACTGACGCACACAGATACTGACTCGTAATATACTGCAGCCACACACGTCTATTCATCGATCGGTCATTTGAATAAAGATCAGGCACACGCGGCTCCGACACGACCCATACGCCGCTCAAAAGGGAGCGACTCCAACCTAACTCAGATTACATTTGACCGATTCCGGAATTAGCTCCGAGTCCCATGTTTTTCTTATCCCGCAGTGGTCTTCCCAAACACGTGAACGTCGCGATCATGGACATACGAAGCACCACATACCGACAGCTGATAAAAGTCATCGGTCACGCCAAACCATGCAATGTGCAATGAGCCATTTCACCACTGGGGATAATTCAGACTGGTACAAATTTACCGCTGCGGCCGTGCCAACCCATCAACATGTAAATGACGGTGCATCACCTAGGTCAGGTGCCGCCATTTCCCAAGTAAGGATGATGCCCGAGTAGGCGATTAACGTTGGTCGGGGCCCCACAGAGCCTAATGGGGGCCCCTGTGCTAGCGAGAGGTCCCAAGTAAGCCAGACGCAGTTATCAGGGAGGCCAGAAGGGCCTGGAAAGCCCACCGAGTCCAACGATCAAGGGCTCGATTGGAGAGTCTTAAGGCACGAAAAGGCTGGTCGTAGTCTTATCCAGGGGCCCGGCCTGCGAGGCCGGTTGCTCAAATGACAGTCAGGGGCCCTTTATGCCGATCAGGGATACCCCGAGTCGGAATGGGTGTATACGTCAGTCAGGCACCACCAGTATCGCACAGTCCGCTCCGTATCGGTATGGGCCTGAGGGTCCATTTCCAATCACCTACACAGCCGGGACCAATGCTTAACACTGGTCGGGGCTCCTAGATCCGTCAGGAGGCCCACAGTGCCTAGCAGAAGGTCCTGTGCTCGCAAGAGACCCCGAGCGGACGAAGAGCACTGTTCAATAAGGCCCCAAGAGGGGCCCGGACGGCCCGACAGAACCGACTACCATAGACCCGGTCGGAGGGCATAAGGGCCCGAAGGGCTGGCTGGCTGTGGGCCACATAAAGAATCGGCGCCTGGAGGGCCGTGACCTGAAATATCAGACACAGGTCCTACTGCACCGTTTGAGGACACCTGACACAACGCAGTTGTCTCAGAGTCGTCGGCCAGAGACCACAAACACCGAACAATTGGCTACATGTCGGTCTCAACCCTGAGGACCAAGATCCCAAGCAGGAGCAAGACCACGAGCCACAATTTGCATTAGTCTGGGTCCCTGAAACAGTGATTGGATTGGGTTCCTGAAACTGTGACCGACCTGTGTCGGTCAGGGGCACACAGTGCCTGACAGAGGGTCATGCTAGTGGCCCTTAGTCGGTCACGGGCTTGGTTTGAGGACGTCCGAGGGGGGCCGGAGGGCCCCTCGAAACCAAAGATCAAGGGCCCGATTGAACTCGGACCCAGCCCTCACCCGTAGTGCCATGATCTGGAATGTTGGAAAGAGGGCCTCTTTTAGAAGCCTGTTATTCGAGTTCTCTCTCCCTATTATATACGGTCGAGATATAGAGCCAAACAGCAGCTCCATGTCTATCTGGCCCTAGGCCCTTGAGACCCATTTCCCAAAAGGGAACGAGGTCGAGGCAGCGATTTGCCATGCTCGGAGATCGGATTTCGGACACGACGAGGGGCTCATGCATCGGTCAGGGGTCACAATGCCTAACAAGGGTCGTGTGGCGGCAAGTGGCCCGGGTCGGCCAGGAGAGGTGTTTGAGGAGACCCGAAGAGGGGTCGAACGGTCTTTTGGGACCAAAGATTAAGGACCCGATTGGAAGGCTGAACGGTCAAAACGGCCTACTGGCTGTAGGCCACATTCAGGGCTCCACCCGTAGGGCCGTGACCTCAAATGTCGAGGCCCTTTGCAACGATCAAGGGCCCCTGAGACAGAGCATTCCTCTGTTTCGGCCAGGTATCACCAACAACGAGCAGCCGGTTCCGTGTCAGTCTGAGCTCTAGGACCCACTTGCCAAGCAGGGATACGGCCGAGCCCGTGATTTACATTGGTCGGGGTCCCTGCAACAATACTGGTGTCCTGTGTCGTTCAGGGTCCCGCAGTGCCTAACAGGATATTTTCTGTCAACAAGGGGCTCGAGGCAGCCCGGGGAAGATTTGCTGAACAGGAACGGGAACCAAACCCTGAATGGCAGAGGGCCTCTTGCGTTGGTCGGAGCCCTCTGAAAATGAAATGACACATGAGAGCTTATAATTATTTCTTACATTGAGCCAAGGGAAGGGTCCTGCGTCAGTCAGGGCCCCCAGTACCGAACGGTGGGCCCTCCATCCCAATTCCAGCATGGGTCCTATTAGCCAAACGTGAGTCTGTGTACCAATAATTGGACCATCAGCGGCGATCGGGGATGATGTTGCGTCAATGAGGGTTCCTGCGTCGATGCGGGGTCAACTGCGGTGTACACGGGTCAGGCCTCCCGCGTCAGGTAACGTACCAGTGCAATGTGATGTAATAGCCTCCGGATCGACCAGAGGATCCCACCCCGTGTCACCCGAATAACAGCAGGAAGACACCCCGCATTGAGACGGAATGGCTCTTCAGATCTCGACCGGGAGCAATAATGCGCCGCCAGACTATTCTACTGTGGCGTGCCCATTTTCCGGACGGAAATAAGGGTTTTATTAGTGTTGAATGGAGTGAATCGAAATTAGTTCAGAAGTAAACAAGGCCGTTTCATATTTGTCAAGAGCGTTTATTCTTTGCAGGATTGACTATTGAAGCAAACTATTGAAAGATTTGAACCTGCGCGTCCGCAATATCGGAAGCAAGCACAACAATGGCCTGGGCTGTAGTTTTCGTAAAACCGAACGGCGTTGGCCACTGCAAGTAACACCAGGCGGCGAATGCTGTGCGCACGGGGGCGACCGTCGTGGTATAGTGATTCCGGATCTCTAAAAAATTGATTCGCACCATTCAAAGGTAAGCCTGGACGTTTTTGTTTGTTTGCAACTTTGAGGTTATACTCTGGACAGACTAACAGCTGCAGTAACATGACAAATGAAGATTTTACCTTTACCCCTTCATCTCTACCGTCGCGTTCCCGCACTTGGTGGCGGTGCTGTTAAGACAAATCCGTTTAATTCACCAATCTAAAAATCGCACAGTTGAAATATGCGCCCAGCTGCATTTCAAGTTAGAAATTTATGTCCTAAAGCATTAAAAGGTACTTCGTTCAAAAGCATCATCATTTTCCTTCACTCGTTGGCCACCGCTTAGTGTCAGACGCCGGGCCGACGCTTGTGCGTCATGTTGACATTGCAATGCGTAGCATCGATGTTTTATTCTAAGATTTGTGAGCTCTCATGCTCGAAACTACTGTACATAACTTGCATCAGTAATAAATATAGATTGAATGTTGCAATTTCCGGACATGTGTGGCTTGATCAGATTAATGTACAATGTTTACCCATTTCGATCTCCTTTCGCGGGATCCTTAATAGCTCTTCATTTAGACAGATATTCTGAGAAAGCTTCTAAGTTCTGTCGGTTTAGAAAGAGTCTACCGGACCGTTGTGAAATGAAGAGCGCCAGTGCCTTATTTCATGCAGTCACTTAATGCATGTTTTCTTCAGTGACTGACTTCGAAATTGGGGAACACTTGATCTCACGGTAGCTTCTGGCTTCTGTTCCGTTATAGAAGATAAGATTGAAAAATATCAAAGGAACACATGCCCTCATAAACGACTGGGCCACATTGCATTTTTGGGACTCTTTTATTACCAGGGACTCTTTGTCAGCCATGTGCCCCACCCTTGCCAAGGCTCTGGCTCTGCGCCTGGTCAGTTGGCCCATACCCGGCAAACCCACGCTGCACACCCTTTCAATGGCCGTGCCAATGTCAGGGCTACACGGTATGCTGGGTACATAAGCCATGGGGTCTGCACGGCAGATCATCAGTTGCTCGACGATCATCTCATCCCGCAGACATGCAGCTTGTGAGTGAGACTAAGCAGGGCTTCGGTCTCTATGCACACCTATTGGTGGGATATTAATTGTCACGAGATGCTTCAAGAAAAGGAGAAACATGCAGGAGCCTTTATTGAATCTTCATTTCCATGACGTTAGATTCTTGGTTGTGATCAGTCAACGCATTTGTGCATGAGTATAGGTCGTTGGAAGAGGGAGGGGGGGGGGCGATGCGGTTCGAACGCCGCACCTTTAAGTCCAGGTTCTCATAGTAGTGATACCAACGCGCCATCTGCAGCTGCTTTGTTATGCGGAGCAGACACCACTCGCCGACCCATTCTCAACCGCACCTGAGTGTCTGTCCCATTCCCACGTTGTCATCGACCGATTGGCTGCCCCCCCCCCGCAGTCCATCCCGCACAGCTCCGCCTCACCCCCCACACCCCCCCTCGTTTCAGATCGTGGCCTTCGCCGTGCTGGCCGTAGTGACCGCTGCGCCCCAGTACAGCGCGCCGCAGCAGGGGTACGGCGCGCCGCAGTCGTCGGCGCGTGGCACCGCACAGGGCCCCGTGTACGCCTCAGGGGGCGCCAACCTGCGCTCGGCCGCGCAGGGCCGCGACGCGCAGGCGCGCACCCTCAGCGAGGAGAACATCAACAACGGCGACGGCACGTACCAGTTCAGGTCAGCAGCCACGGCCTTCTGTGCCCTGCAGACGAACTAGTGCAACGCAAGTATGCGGCTTTAACGTCATTGCTATCTTTCAGACGGTTTTTCGTGAGCGTCGTATGCGGCTCTCGTTTGATGCACATTAGCTGTGCTTCAGGTCAGGACACCATGTTCCTTTGGGCGCGTTCTGGTCTAACTCTTTCGACAGACGGAGCGCCGGCCTGCCAAGTGTGCTGCGCGAAAATCGCTCGGAGTCTACGGCGTTGGCGATCGAAGGACGCTTCGCATGTGCCCGCCGTAGGGGATGGGGGATCACGCCGTAGGGGTGGGGATCACGCCGTAGGGGGTGGGGGATCACGCCGTAGGGGGTGGGGATCACGCCATAGGGGGTGGGGGATCGCGTGGATGTTGTATAAGTTACCATTGTAGCAACTGGTGTTACTCAAAGATAAATGCCTAAAGTTTTCAAAGCACCATTATCCTATGCACTACCGCCCTGGTATCACCACGAGCGCTTAGGTCATCGATACCCACCCATCATTTGACCCATGGAGGAGCGCGTCGTCCAAGCGTCACGGGCGCGTGCTGCAGTGCGCTCACTCGTGTCCCCGTCCGACAGCTTCCAGACGGACAACGGCATCAGTCGTGACGAGCAGGGTGACGCCAACCAGGTGACGGGCAGCTACAGCTACACGGGCGATGACGGCGTGCCCGTCTCCATCTCGTTCGTGGCCGACGTCAACGGCTTCCAGCCGCAGGGTGACGTGCTGCCGACGCCTGTGCCCACCGAGTACCCGACGCCCGACGTGCCGCTCAGCCCCGAGGCCAACCCCAACTTCGCCGGCCGCGGCCAGGCCCAGCCCTCGTACTCGACGCCCGCCGCGCCCAGCCGCTTCTACGGCGCCGCCTAGTGAGCGCGCGCGCGCGATTGTTGCGGCACACGGCCCGCGGCCTCCGCCGGACGCGAGGTGGCGACGGCGGGGCCGGGGTGGCGGTACGCCGGGAGGTTCTATCTGTTGTCCGGTCTTGGCTGCTGGGGTTAGTGGTCCCGGAGGCTATGGTGCGGGTGCCGTTTCTGAATGTTGAGGTCGTGATTGGCTGCCAACGCTGGCGAATGCCGCTGCACTGTTCCGCTTGACGTTGGTAGCTTGAGCGTTTTTTTTTTGTGTCCACGTGCGTATTTGTAGTATGAAGCCTGTATCTGGTTATATTTGCACCTCTACAAATGAACCTATGCTGCGATATAAGCCTTTAAATTGAACCTTCATTGAAGGTCTTCTTGCTGGTTACTGGCATCCCGTCTAGATTGGTAATCCCGAGTAGGCTCTCACAGCGTTGTCGATACTTCCCTTCTTTCTAAGGACCTGCTGCTCTGTGAGAGATGAGGGATTGCCAGACGTTTTGACAATAAACACGCATCATAGATGCACTGCAGCGGGCGTATGGCTGAAACAGATGCAGATCTTCCTGCTCTTTAGAGCTTTCTACAACTCTATGCGATATGGAATGGACCAACAAGGATCACAAAGACCTTCAAGAACATCATACACCATCATTTAGCAACCTCTTAGACATCTGAACCATTCTATGTATGCACCAGGAGCTGAAAGCATTTCTTGGTTATGTCAAGTACGTTGATTCAGTAACGAACTTTTTAAGATTCAGTCCGATCTTTTTCGTCGAACAACTTTCGAGACCGGCACTAACACTAAGCGGTGCTCATTGTGCGGGTTCTGCCCCGGGCAACCGATCGTGAAATTCTGGATTGCCCATCGAATTTCGCGGCAAAATTTCCATGTGCCGCAACGCTCGGTAAGGTCAACCATGCCTTCTGACCCTTGGCGCAGCCGCTGCCAGTGACCGCAGGCCATCCCAAACGATGTCAAACAGCGAGCACCTAAAACGACTCGACTCCCCCCCCCCCCCCTCTCCACGGCCAGGCGGGCTTGACGGCAGGCCCTCTAACCAACTGAGCTATCGGGAAGAACAAATCGCCAAAGAGCAGAGCGCTGCGGCACCACAAGACTGGTGAGCAGACGTCGCTGTCAGTGCCATCCACGGAACTGGTGCCTCGGAGGGTGAACAGTGGTCTCTGTAAATGCCAGCCGCGAACCTGGGGCCTCGGAGGGTGAACAGTGATCTCTGTAAATGCCAGCCGCGAACCTGGGGCCTCGGAGGGTGAGAAGCGGTCTCTGTAAATGCCAGCCGCGAACCTGGGGCCTCGGAGGGTGAACAGTGGTCTCTGTAAATGCCAGCCGCGAACCTAGGGCCTCGGAGGGTGAGCAGTGGTCTCTGTAAATGCCAGCCGCGAACCTGGGGCCTCGGAGGGTGAACAGTGGTCTCTGTAAATGCCAACCGCGAACCTGGGGCCTCGGAGGGTGAACAGTGGTCTCTGTAAATGCCAGCCGCGAACCTGGGGCCTCGGAGGGTAAACAATGGTCTCTGTAAATGCCAGCCGCGAACCTGGGGCCTCGGAGGGTAAACAATGGTCTCTGTAAATGCCAGCCGCGAACCTGGGGCCTCGGAGGGTGAACAGTGGTCTCTGTAAATGCCAGCCGCGAACCTGGGGCCTCGGAGGGTGAGCAGTGGTTGCTGTAAGTGCCAGCCGCGAAGGTGGGGCCTCGGATGAGGACCAGTGGCCGCCGGAGGGCTACCCGCGAAGCTGGGGCCTCGGTGACACGCATCCCATCCGCCATCAATTCTGGGTTCCGCCGAAAGCTTTCGTCAGCGACGTCCCATGGCAGTGCGAGCGCACGCGCTGGTACCACTAGAGGCGCTCAGGTGGCGGACCACTGAACAGGACATGACAGCGCGAGCGCACGCTCTGGTACCACTAGAGGCGCTCAGGTGGCGGGCCGCTGAACAGGATCTTGCCTGACTGATATTGTTGATTAAACGAAGGGCGGTTCAAGGTCATCTCAGAGATCAAGTCGGCGTCACAAATTAACGAATGCTGAACAACGAACTCTTTCCACGGCGCCACGAAGGGAAAATACTTTGATACCGCTCCAATTCGTTATTGCCGGTCTTACCACATATGAGCAAATGTACATTAGGATGAATGTGCCGCACTACTTACTTTGTCAACTTGACGTACACAATCTAACAGCGAAATAAAACGACTCGTAAAAAAGGCACCAACAGCATTCTCACAACCGTTCAAGTAAATATATCAGATCAATTAGTTCAGGTAAAACTCAGCATGCTCGTTCTCATTTACCCACGCAGAAAACTGCTCGGACTTACAAGAACAGAATGTTCGCCTCACATCGACATTATCAATGCGCTGTAACCACAATACACCGCAAATTTAATCACCTTTTACAGGCCTCGCTGCCCCTGCACGGTTTGCCACACTGCCTGACGGGCTCATCTCGCGCCTCGGCGCCGCGTCTTCGGCGTTCGAGCGGCCCGACAACGCCAGCATTCGGAGGCGACGGCCGGGCCGGCTACATGGGTCGGTAGGCCTCCAGAGGCACTGGCAGCAGATCCTGCAGCGGTCGCTCGAAGGCGGCCGCCGAGCCGGGCACCGCGCACTGCGGCGGCGGCGGTGGTGCGTACACCATGCCCAACTGCGGCCCCGCCACCTCATACCCGGCCGTCTGCAGCAGGTCGAACCGCGGCGGCGGCGGCGGGGGTGGTGGAGGCCGAGGTGGCGGAGGTGGCGGAGGTGGCGGAGGCGTGGGTTCCACCCGGGCTGCCGGCGCCGGCTCGGCCGGCGGCCGCGACTTCTCGCCGCCGTGCTGCGTGAGCACGTGGCGCGCCAGGTTGGAGCTGGTGCGGAAGGCCGCCTGACAGGCGCGGCACGGGTGCGGCCGCGCACCACTGTGGATGCGGCCGTGGTACGCCAGTCCCGAACGCGTCTTGAACGTCTTGCCGCACGCGGCGCACGCGAACGCCCGGCGCGTCGAGTGCACAGCCGCGTGCTCGCGCAGCTGCGACGGCCGATGGAACAGCTTGCCGCACGCGTCGCAGCGGTGCGCCTTGCGCTGCCTGTGCCGGCTCAGGTGCTGCCGCAGGCTGGACGAGTGTACGAACGTCTGACCGCAGAGCTCACAGCTGAACTGCGCGCCGGCCGTGTGAGCGCTGCGCACGTGCTCCGACAGCGCCGACGACGAGCGGAACGAGCGCGTGCAGGACGCGCACGCGTGCGGCCGCACGCCCGTGTGAATGCGCACGTGGTGGTACATGTACGTGCGGTGGGCGAACTTCTTGTCGCAGAGGCTGCACTGGTACGTCTGGCCGTCGGCGCTGATTGTCCACAGGCGCGACTGGGAGCTGCTCTTCTGCTGCCGTTCCGAGCCTGATCTCGCGGCCTGCGGCAGTGAAATACATATCACGAATTAGGGAATGACACACTGAAACATCTGCTGGAAACATTTCAGATTTCGTTCACTTTGCGCGGTATCATTGGAGCTAACATTTCACACCAGTTTTTGGAAACAACATTTCACAAAATTTCACACGCTGTGTGAAAGCAAGCACGGTTAGTTGCTGTTGCGTCAAACCCGAATTTAACGTACAGACCGATGAAAAATACGTTACCTTTGATGATGCTCCATCTCCCAATTCCGGCTTTTGTTTGACTGCGGCTGACGATGGCGTATCTGGAACAGAAAACATGACACAATACAGCATGTCGAACATGTGGATTACTGTACAAAAGATGAAAGAGAAACTTATCGCATGACGTAATGCAGTAAACACAATTCTCGGACGAATTTAGATCAAGTACATTTTTTCATTGCCATATCGTAAAGTGTGATTTGCAATCAATTTGCCAATCAAAATTGTCATATTGCAATCGACCGTGGGAACAGATCGCACGAGGAACAAGAATGAGCCCACATGAGCTGAACACGTTGGATGTCAGATCGTTGAACTTCAGCGTGGTATTGAAAACGACCCTGCGTAAAGTCCCGCATGTACAACACCATCAGCCGACGATCGTGCCGTGTGGAAATTGCTAGTGACAAATGCCTTAATTATATGGTCAGATTGAATCCCCTATATGGCACAGGCGCAAAGGAACGAAGGCAGGATGAGTGCCTACACTGCTTGGAGCCCAGCTGGTTGCAACTTTTCAGAAAAATACGATACCATCGGGTATTCTTACATATTCGTTGCGTAATCTCCACGCATCGCAGCCTCCTCCATCTCCTTGTCCAGCTTTGCACCCATTGGCCGAAGTCTGGGAGCTATCTTCGGCGTTGATTTCATGAAACTGCCGCTCCCTTATTCAACCTTGCACCCGTTGGCCGTAACCTGAGTGGTTTTGGCACTAATTGCACGAAACTTTCACCGGCTATTTACTTTGCATCCCGTGGTCAAAATCCAAGAGGCCTTAGCGCTGATTTCATGAGACTGTCACCCCATTACTCAAAACTGTATCCATTGTTTTTATGAAACTGCGCGTATTTGTTCTGGATCTTTTTATTATGGACCCATTTCGGACCGGATTTGGTCGGCTTCACAAGACAAACCCAGCATCAGGCTCCGACCAGCACACTGTGCTTCCTATCTTACATCGGGAAAACTAGCCATAAAATGTCTGTGAGCACTCAATCCTTTCTGGCACGATTCCACCACTGTGCAGATTCCTTCGGGATCGAGATGCCAAGCATGAAGAAAAATTCATGGCTCCATCTGCATTTCTCACCCAGGCCACCTACATCGAGGCCCTTGTTCAGGTTGGTTCTTGGGAGGATACTTGACAACACTTTGCCCCATAAAATCTTCACACCAAACACAACTTAGATATGATGACCGTTTTCTTGTGTTCGATACCCCTCGGTGCCCGCCCATCCCACCAGGGTGAGAGGCAGGCAGCGCCATATAGCCTCAGTGGCTGAGTGCGTCATAAAGCCCCAATGACATGATGACAGACTGTTTTCTTGTTTCATCCTTACATTGTGATCTTTGAGATACAATGTTTATGCAATACGGTCTTTGCTCCATTTAATTCATTCCACAGCAAACTTTGTCGCACATGGCCTTTTGCCATATTTTCACCCACACTGTCTCTACCCCATACTGTTTAGTAATCACAGTCTGTATCCAATACAATCTTGGCAGTGAACTTTTCATCATGCAGTCTGTTCTGTGGTTACCAAAAAGAACATCTAAATTTGGTTGAAAACAAAAGCAAAAGTCATTAATCTCAATCAGTGCTTTGTTTGGTGTGGCACATATGCAAAGACATAAACAATATTTTATAATGGGAAGGGTGCAACACTCAAAATATTCACTGAAAACCACATTTAGCATATCACAAACATGACAAACTTCTAGTCTGGCATAGCACCAGACCATGTGTTCTGAATTATTTGTTCTAAGCATGCCTAGAATGTTCATCTAGCAACCTTTATTCACATGCATATTAATCCATACCATAATCTAAAAAATGGGGCACATGTTCCCAATAGCCACCATGTGAATACATCCCCTTAAAACATGTTTGCAATGCAGATTTTGACATGGAGTACATGAGACTAGAGAGCCACTACTGATTACAACATTGGTGGGCATTAGTTTGCCATGATCATTTGCAAGAACCCAAACAAAGATTTCACACCTGTTAGGTTCATTTAACCATAACCCTTACAAACTTGCAATGTTGTCCTGGAATCTCAAACCTTGAAAACCATACCAAAAAATTGTTCTAAATTTGACCATGAAGCAATGTACCTGAAGAGGAAGAATAAGCACATTCATGCATCTCCTCCACTATTTAAATATAGCTTGTGTTTAACTGTTGATGTTGCACTGAAATTTGGTTTAAGTATGGGGAAATATTCTTCAGGAGTATATTTCTGCATCTATCACAGTTAAACACTGCCATTTATTCATCACTTTGAATTGCTTCCAGAGACATAATATAGGAACATATTTTTCAAGCCCAATTCTTTTAATCTCAGGGAAAAACTCTTCAAGCCCAGTAGATACAACACACTTATGTATTCATGCTTTAAATGTTTTGCAGTTTCAATTAAATACATACCTACAGTTGGAGAATGAAAAACATGATTTCCTTTCATCTTGCTCAAGCTGGCCGAAGCACGATGATCTTCTGAACAAGCCACAACATTGTTCACATCACAGCTGCGAACATTCCTGAATCTTAAAAGCATGACATTCTTGATCTGTATGACAAGATTTTGTTGGTGCTCATAATCATCCACTAAGCTTTGACATGATTTGCACAAGTAGCATAGCTCATTTACTTTGTCCCAGACATTTGGGCTCAAAATCGTGCTTACCAAATCTTGGTACATTTTGTCACCAAACTGGCTTGTATGCTCTAAGTGCACAGCTTCATCAATATGTGGAATATCATCAAGACAAACCAGGCATTTCAACTGTCCAGATACCATCTTCCCGATGAACATTGGCAACGTGTTGCATATCGCAAGAGCACATGAATTTTAAGTAGAAATGCAATTCGCTGACCGTGTCATACATGTCGCAATATCGCCATTACTGTACCAGAGAAATGGGTCAGCGGGCTGCAGGAAGTAAAAATTAAACTTTTATGTGCAGATGGCGCGAGCAGTATGCGAAATGAGCTGTGCTTGGCCTTTCGCTGAGCTGTGCCATGAGGAATTGAGATGCCCGAGGACGGGAGTCATGGGTGCAACGGACACTCGAGGCATGCAAGCCAAACCCAGTCACGATTGCAACTGAATCACTCGAGGTTTAAAGCGTCACCCAAGCCTTTCACTAACTGCCTCCGGTCCCGTGAAAGCGTCTCAGGGATGTCGCAGCAAGATAACGAAATCACCTTTTCATTTCTTCGTCATGTCACCTACAGTTGACTGCAAAACGGCATTGCCCGATAATCGGATTTGTTGGGGGACGCCACAGCTTCATTCTTAACATGCATAGCTGTTCGGACATCCGTATAAGCATGAAGCCAATCAGAAACATGGCAGGTATTTTGGCTTGGTGTGGCTACCACGATATTCACTGCTCAAATCAGCAGCAGATCCAGAGGGGGCGGGGGGGGGGGGGGCAAAGGGCCACGGCCCCCTTGGGCCCCGAAGAGGCTCTTTGGCTCCGAGGGGGCCATAGAAGACCGAACAGGTGCAGTTTTTTTTTAACACAAAGCGCAGCAAACCTGAATATCCCTGGACTTCCAGGCGACTAGGAACAGCTGTAAGCGAAAGTGAAGGGTCTGTGAGAAGTCAAACAAAGCTATTCAATGATTGGAAAAGTTGTGAACTAGAAATTTAAGTCTCATTACATTGTTCATACTGTTTTCGGGGGACCTGTGTGCCCACTTGCAGGATTATTATGATCGTTAAGGAGCACTCCACGCTGCCCTTCATTTCTTTGCATTTGCTCGGAGGGCCCTGCGCCGTTGTTGGGGCCCTTCCTGTTGGCGTGCCGGGCACTCTTGTCAGTCACGGGCCCTTCCACGGACCCTTTCCATTCGCCAGAAAGGATCTGTGGACTATAGCCGTGGTCCTATATCTTAAACTGCAGGGGTATTCTCGGTTATTCAGGGGTCCTTTAAGTGGGTCTCGGTTAACCTACCGACACACTTGCGATATGCTCATGTACCCTCTACATTGGTCTAAAGCACTTCCAATTCTATGCCACTTGCTCAGGGCCCTACGCTCTTGTCGAGGGCCTACCCGATGGCTTGTTTGGGCACGCTCAGCCGTTCGGGGACCCTCCACACTGTGTCTTGGGTGCTTCTTTTCTGCATGGGGGGGGGGGGGAGAGGGGGCCTACGCCCCTGTGGGGGCCTATCTGAGATAACATGCTCAGGCACGTTCGATCTTTCGGGGGCACTCTACGTTGGGCCTTGGGCATGTGCTATTTGAATGGGGCCCTTCGCACTTGTCGGGGTCCCCCTCTGTTCGCCCCCTCGGCCGCACTGGATTTCTCGGGGGCTCTGCACATTGGTTCTTGGTGTTTGAATTTAGGGCCCTCTGCTCCTATCCGGGTCATCTGATAACCTGTTCGGGTACACCCCATCTTTCGCGGGCCCTCCACACCGGGCTTCAGGTACTTCGTGTTGGAATGGAGGGCCCTACACTTTTGCCGGGGCCCCATCTGTTAACCTGCTCGGGCACACTCGAATATCCGGGGGCCCTCCACATTGTGTCATGGGTACTTTCTTCTTTCTTGGCCCTACGCACTTGTCGAAGACCCCCATCTATTCGCCGCTTCGGCCACACTGGATTGTTCGGGGGTCCTTTATATTGGGTCTTGGTGTTTGCATTTTGGGCCCTACATTCCTGTCTGGGCCACCTGATAATCTCCTCGGGCATGCTCCATTTTTTCGGGGGCCCTCCGCACTTGGTTTTGGGTACTTCTTACTTGAATGGAGGGCCCTATCGTCTTATCGGGCCCTTTCTGATCAGCTGCTTGGGCACATTCCATCATTCTGCGCTCATTTACATAGGGTCTTCGGTGCTTCCCATTCGAAAGGAGGGCCCTACGGTCTTGTTGGGAGCCCCACTTAACCTTTCCGGGCACACACGATCGTTCAGAGACCCTGTTCATTGGGTCTTGGGTACTTCTTATTTGAATGGAGGGCCCTACGCTCTTAATGGCGACCTCAATGTTAACCTGCTCGGGCGCACTCGATCGTCCAGAACCCTGCACATTGTCTCGTGACCCGCGAGTATTTCTCTTTGAATGGATGACCTTTGCTCTTGGCGGGCCTCATCTGTTAAGCTGCTCGGGTCGGTGGCGGATGTAGAGGGGGGGGGGGGGGGGTGGAGAAAGGCACGGAACCATGCCCCATGGAAAATGCCGAGGGGACCCAAAGGCTCCGAATGGGCCATAACCGGCCGGACAGACGCAGTTTTCTTACAACAAAAACAACAAAATTGGATACCCTTGGGCTTACAGACGACCAAGAACAATTGCTAACGAAAGTAAAGAGCTCATAAGTCGACAAAGTTCATTCTTCGCTGATGGAGAAAGTGTTGCCTGGGGAAACTGTGGGGCTCATTACACTGTCTAGAGCCATTACGCCGCTAATTTCTCGACCCTAATGTTCATTTGCCGGGTCAGTCCGATCTCTAAGAAGCTTTCCACGCTGCTCTTGATCTCTGCATTTTTCGTAGGGTCCAATGTGCTGTTGGGACGCTATCTGCCTCCCTGCCTGAGCACTGTTGGTCGATCAGGTTTCCCTCCACGGATTCTTTCCATTCGCCCGAAAGGCTCTGAAATTTTTTTTCGGGGCCACATATGCCAGGGCACACTCAGTTGCTCAGGGGCCCTTCATATAAGTCTCGGGTGCTTTCCACTTGCTTGGAGGGCCTTGTGCGTTGGTAGGGCTCTTATAAGGTAAGGCACAGAGACGCTCGATGCTCATAGGCCCACTACTTTGATCGAGGGCTCTCTCCCTTTGGTCCCATTTGCGGAGGACTCTTTACTCCTACCGAAGCTCGTGTTGTTAACCCGCCCGTGGACTCTTGACCGCACATGGGCAATAAGTCATGGTGTTGGATAATTCCTCTTTGCTCGGAGGGTCCTGTGCTCTGGCCGGGGCTTTATGTCAGGCTGCCGGGGCACTACCGATAGTTCAGGGGCCCACCACGTTGGTCTAGGGTTGTTTTTGCTTGCTCTGAGGACCTTACACTTGCTGACGGGGGCCACTTTGTTGGCCTCCTGCAGCACCCGCGACCGCCCAGGTTCCGTCCCTATTGGCCTTGGTGCCTTCGCCTTAGAACAGCGGTAGAATTTGCGCCAATAAATTTTTACGCGCAATTGCCGAACGTAATTTTGCCGATAACCGTACGTGTCATTTCCATCGACTATTGAGTGCTTGCCGCTAGTTATACTAGTGCGCTACGATCTAGCATATTCTGAATGCTAGGATATATTGTCCTTCGTTATAACAAGGGAAGAATTCTGCACTAGTAATCAGCCATCAGCTGATGACATCGTCCAGCCGGCTAGCCGTAAATGCACAAGCTAGGGATCAATTCCATGCTTGGTTTTGATGGTTCTCAACAGCTGACTCAAGTTTACTTTACCTGTTGTTCCGGAACACGAAGCCTCAAAACCACAGCATTGAACATGATCTGTAGATAACGAGTGAGCTCTGTGTATGGACGCGTGGCACGCCTAGGTTTATAGGGCTGCCCACAGTAAGACGGGTTTCCGTATTTATCAAATAAATAAGTAAATACATCCATATATATATATATATATATACACATATTACATACGACTTTTCTTAGAATGTAATGACCGAAATGCAAGAATACTTTTCTGGAGGGGCCCCACAATGTTGCGTTGCCCCCTCCTTGACCAAATCCTGGATCGGCCCCTGGCTCAATAATTAATGCGTGTTACGTTTAGTGAGATGCAAGCCTGGACACCAAATCAATGCTTGTCGAGAGCGCCACGGGTTTAAAGAGTGGTGCCAATCTTGCACATTTTGACCGCACAACCGGCTGAGGCTGCCAGCAACTACGAGAGATTGTTGGCATAGCACAGCATGCGTGGCCGCAATATGCAGTGTGGCGAGGCAGTAAAATTCAGAATGAGCCATACTCTTTAGACCGGCACCTTCCATTAAATCAACGTGTTCGATCTCGGCGATGAAACTCGCGATGATATGCGACTCAAAGGAGCATCTCGCATGAGCCTTGAGAGGGCGCGTACCTTAATGCCAAACAAACGCGATACTTTGATGATAGCTGTCTACATTTACATCCAGGTGGGCATTGTAGAACGCAGTATGCCTTCACACCCAACATCGGAACATGCGGCAGAATCACCCTAAAGCGGACATCAAACCTGCCATAAATCCTGGAAGACCATTTTTAATATTAAACTATACGATACACCCGCACATAGCCCAGTCGCAGGCATTGATGCATTAATAGCGTTCCCTTCCATCACACGGAAAACGCGACTGTAGTATCCAGCCTACCCTATTCACACACCAAATCCACGTCCAAAGCAGCAGGCGTCGATCTTACACACGACACACAAAGCCGCGCTATCACGAGCAAGCTCAGTACAAGCGACTCCGTGTGCCGACACTCGGGCCGAGCCGCCTGCCACTGCCCCGCAACCACCAGGGCCAACCCTGGGCCGAGCCCCGACTCCCAGCTCTCGCGTGCTCGTCCCGGACTGGCTCCGCACCGCCGGCGATGGTGCGTCGGCCCGCACTTGTTCACGGGCCTGTGACACGAGGTACCCGGCGACGTAAGCGCACGAGGCTTCCCCGCCTGTTAGCGGTCATAGTGGTGATGCCCTGATCCTAGTGCGGCCGGCCCGCGCCTGCACACCCAAGACAGCGGGGTCGGTCGGCAACTGCAGCCGTTCTGGGCAGCAGCAGCAGCAGCAGCCGATCAACTACCGACGAAATGAGCCGGACAAACAACGGGATAAGCTCGGACCGGCAGCGGGACGAACGAAACCGGCATATGGACGAGTTGGGCCAGCATCGGGACGAGCTGGACCAGGATCCGGACGAGCTGGACCGGCAGCGGGACGAGCTCAGATCGGCAGCGGGACGAACTCAGACCGGCAGCGGGACAAGCTCAACCAACAGCGGGACAACCTTGACCAGCAGCGGGACGAGTTCAGACCGGCAGCGGGACGAACTGGACCAGCAGCGGGCCGAGCTGGACCACCAGCGGGACGAGCTGGACCAGCAGCAGGACGGGCTCAGACCGGCAGCAGGACGAGCTTGGCCAGCAGCGGGACTAGCTCAGACCGGTGGCGGGACGAGCTTGACCAGCAGCCGAACGAGCTCAAGCCAGCAGCGAGGCCAGCGCGTCCAGGAAGCGCGTGCGGTCATCGGTGCGCAGCTCGACCACGGACGCGTCGAAGCTGCGCAGCCGGACGTCGGCCCTGATGCGCTCGGCTGCCTTCTCGAACGCCTTGCCGAACAGGTTGCGCGGGGACTGCTCGGACACGGGCGGGACGCCGATTACCAGGCAGGCGCCCGACTCCGGCGCCAGCGGCGCTGACAGAATCAGCGGCAGCTGGCGCGAGCGCTTCGACCGCTCGGCGGCCACGTGCGCGCGCAGCGCGAAGTGCGCCAGCATGGCGAGACAGTTGGGCCGGGCAAAGAAGTGTGCGTTGGGCTCGCCGTCCGACACGGCGGCGTAGAGGAAGGCTCCCACTGAGATCACCTGGTGCATGTCCAGCAGACCCTGCACGGTGGCATACGTCACCTCCGCGAGCCTCTCGGCGAGCGCGATGCCGCGGCGCAGCAGCGGTTCCTGGCGGCGGTCAAGCGCAGCCAACGCGTCCATGAAGCAGTCGTCAGGGGCGCGGCGCGCGTCCGGATTCTCCAGCAGCGCCACCATGGCGTGCACCACGTCGGCGGCGGCCATATGCTGGCGGAAGCCATAGCGCGCCTGGAACGAGCCGTACAACAAGCCGTCCAGCTGGTATTTGTCGGTCTTGGCCTGGACGAGGTCGCGCACCTGCGCGCGCAGGCCCATGTCCATGGAGGCGAACTTCTGGCGGCACTGCACGAGCGGCAGGCCCAGCTCCGCCAGGAACTCGTACAGCCGCTTCTCGCCCTTGAACGTGAACAGCTTAAACTGGCATGCCACGAGCGGCGTAAAACGCAGGCTGTCGAACAGGCTCCAGTGGCGGTAGAGCACCAGGTTGAGGTCCTGCTCGAAGGCCAGTCGCAGACAGTCCGCCGAGGTCGTATCGTCGCGCTGGTGGCCGTAGCGGGCCACCTGCCCTTGGTGTTGGCCGGCCACCAGCACGTACCGCTGGTGCTCCAACTTGTGCAGCAGCAGCTGCTCCGTCAGCGCCACCAGGCCGTACCACAGCAGCTGGCTGGTGTCACGGCTCATGCGCAGCGCCAGGCTGTACGCCAGGAGGGCGCTGCTATCGCCGTGGTAGGAGAACTGGGCGTACTCGGTCAGCAGGCGCGCGCGCCGCTCGCTCCAGCGGCGCCGCTCCTGGCGCCGCGCCAAAAACGACGCGTCGTAGCGGCGCCGCTTCTCGCCGCCGTCGCCGGCCGCCTCGGACTCGGAGTCAGAGTCAGAGTCGGAGCGGTACAGGTCGGCGAACGGCGGCACGGCGTCCTCAGGGGTCACTGGTGAAACGATCCGGATCTGGCGGCACGCCAGCGCAGCGTCACCGGCCGCGACGAGCCGTAACGCGCGGCTCCAGTCACGGCGCGAGAACAGCGGACACTCCCTTGTGACCAAACCGTTCTCCCACCGCCCCCGTCCCCCCACACACAAACAACTGAACGTCTCTTCGACCGTGCATTGGGGATGACCGTCGCAGTAGCATGGTCGGTAAGTACAATATACCCTTTAGGGTTGCATTACAAGGCGCTGCGATGTTTCGACCATACAGGATAAGGAAGGTGCTGACAAAACCAATTAAGAGACACTGCCTGGATCCCAAGATAGAATCCAGGATCCCACAGGGATCCCCACTCTATGTCTGACATCACGAGATCTTTCGGGGCTCCAGGCGCATATCTAAAAATACGGTGGTCCAGGTCCTACATAGCTCCAGCATTATCTTGCGATTCAAAGAAATTTCGTCTAAGTTTGTCTTAAACTCAACTTTGTATGCATCATCCACATTTTTGGAAATCGGGTCCATTAAAAGAATACGCTGCGCTTTGCTCTTTTTAATTATGTAGTTTAACACCGTGCTCCGCTCACTGCTGCTTAAGAAAGGTCACGACGCATGCCGCCGTGCACCCTTTTACGGCACGGCATGGAATACGGAGGCCATAAAAGCGCGAAGGGGCCATAGCACAATAGGGGATCGCACCGAACTCCATATCACCATAGTAACACATAACAAAGGCGTGGTTGTTGCGCTGCATTTCTAAAAAAGAAATGTTCTTTAACCAGCAGGAATCTCACCTGCCCGTCATTGTACACATTGTTAACGTCCATCGGCCGGTGTGAGTCTAGGACGTAGACGGTGACATCATTGGGCGGGTCCAGCTCGGCCACCAGGTCCATCATGATGCCGCAGTTGATCAGGATGACGAGTCGCACCAGGCCCACGTTGTCCTTGAACGACTGGCGGAGGTCGTCCGGGCTCTGTCCGTCGACCAATCAGATCATGTTCCGGCCCGAGGTCGCTACCGTCAACATATTAGTCAAACAACAGGACTTAAAAGCCACGTACACTGCATTTTGCTGGTTCTGTTGAGCTTACAACGCCTTTGTTGAGTCAAACATTGCAAGAAACCTAACAGGCACTGCCATTTAGAAGCAGACATCATTTCCCACCAAACAGCGTCAATACGCCCACAAGCAATCAAGTGGGGACAAAAAGGCAACGGTAATAAAGGAAGAGCGACATACCTTAATTGGTATGAGCGTATAAAGCACATGATCCCCGCGGAAGAGCTCCTGGATGATAGCTGATGTACAGATGGCGTCCACGTCACAGTGGACCAGCAGAAGCACACGCTGTTCAAGAAGCTCCTGGTAAAAATCTCTCTTGATATCAGTCACCAGCATCCTGCAAGGAGATAGTAGGGTATTACCACCAACAAGTTCCCACCAAAATGCCAGCGTTTAGCACCGTCGCCTCTCAGACACCAATAGGTAGGTGCAAGTCTTGTAAGTACGCATTCCATACAGACGTAGGTACCTTGCAATGTTAATCTGCCGCAAGTTTAGTGGGCAAAGGCGCGCTGCCATTTGACATTTGCTGACATAGATATAAATGACATTTTCTGAACACTGGCTGGCTTTGGGTCTGACAGAGTCGAATTTCCAATCGACGAAATCGAGGCATTTCGAGCGCTTTACGCCCACCGTGGACAGACGTCAATGAGACAACGAGAAAAAGTTTCGGATGTGGGATATACGGGAATATACGGCAGTGTATTTAGTTCAGTAACTAACCGCAATGCCAGCAATACGAACTACACGAGTAAGTACTTCTTATTTTTTTCATGCCCAATCCGTTCTTCGGTCCAAGAAAGGCAGCATTCGCCGCTGCTCGCCCGATAACGCGCGTCCACATCAGCCCGCCCATGTTCGGAGCGCTTGTTAATTTGTGTACAACACATCAGACTACATCCTAGAGCCGTTTTAACACTTTTCCCTGCATATTACCAAAACCTAACACCGATACTAAAACACACATCAAACGTCCGGGTCGATTGGTTATGCTCAACCGCGGGATCTGCTGCGCCCAACGGACCACGCTTTTGCCAATCAGATAGCCTGGCCCATCATTCATCAACGGTGTTGGCTCTACAATGCAGTGGTACCCCTCTGGAACCAAACACTGACTTCTGTCTGTGGCAGCCTTTTTTTTTTGTTGCAACAAACAAAGTTAATGCTTTTTGTATCAATGGAATGGGAAAAGTTATATTTAGCTCACATCGGAAAACCGCAGCTGACCACAGTAACACATCACCAGGAAACAACTTAAAATTCAAACAACAAAACTTTTAGATAATCATACTTCTTTCACCTGAAATCTGCACAAAGCCGTACTCAGTGACTGCAAATATATCAGCTTCAAGGAAGTGTTACAGACTGATCATGTGGCTCAATTTGCAAATTTGGTTTGCATTCCAGTGAGACTCAACTGACAGATGGGCTCAGTTATGCATCAGCTTGGGAGTTAACTAAGGCCGATACACAGGGTGGCTTAATGACCTCTCATTTCACCAACAAATGGAAATATTTTTAGTGATCAATGCTTAGTTGAACTCTCTCTCTTATCATTCACCATATCTCAGCTATAATAGCTTCAGATACTCTAACTGATCTGTTCATGGGGACTTGCACCACAAACTCAACTAAATGCTTTACTTTTTGACAGCCCATTCATAAATGGCTGAGAATGTCTGGATAAACAAGGATTCCATGGTACAACATTGTATGCCCATGAAAATCTAGATTAACCACAATGGGATCTGCTGAGGCCAGCCTAAAAAATACATGCCAGCCAAATCATATTACTTTCTACCCCATGCAAGATTGATCTTCTCCACTTTCAACAATACATAGAGAGCCAGTGTTTCAAAGAATTGTGATATCGCAAAAGTGTTCTTAGACAAAATGACAAAACAAGAACAGAACCTTCTTTATGTGATAAGTCAAGAATTCAGGACATGCCTTGGCCTGATCTGAGCATGGTGAAGTTCATCTTACAGCTGTTACATCATCATGTGCAGTGGACCGCCAACCAGATGCTGGCGGTCATGAAGCCGTCTTTTGCCAATATCGATGCTCGCACGCTGCCATTACTTTTAAGATCTTAGCGCATCCGTACTTAGAGCATGGCAATGTTATCTGGGGCCCGTTCGGCAAACTGGACCAGAAAAGGCTGGAACGAATTCAGCGACGAGCTACCCGGCTTGTCCATGAAGTGAGGCGCCAGCCATACCCTGAGAGGCGCAGACTCCTTCAGCTGCCCTCACTGTAATGTTGTCGTCGCAAGGAGGCATGGTAACAGTGTACCAGCTATTTCACGGAGGCATGTTGCTATCGGAAGAGGAGTTCCTGACAAGGCACAACTCGGAGGTGACGAGAGGACACCAATGGAAGCTCAGAAAACCTCGAGCTAGGACTCTCGTCCGTTGCGACTCATTCAGCAGCGGGTTGTCAATGACTGGAACGCTCTTCCACACCCGGTCGTATCATGGCCCTCAATTGAACAGTTCAAGGCTAGGCTTGATACGCACTGGGCTGACATCATGTACAAAGTCCCACACTGAATCTTCCCATAATTTGAGGCTGTTTGGTTACCGGACCGGACCGGACCGGGAGCCTGACGAGACCGGAACCTACAGGCCTAGTGGTCTTTTACAATTCCTGATCACCATAAGGTAAGGCAAGGTAAGGTAAGGATGAACTTTATGCGGACTGGCACTAGGATAGTGCAGCCAGAGTCTATGCTATAAGCTGTGCCTAGCAGTCCCTACACTATCATGGGCATTCCTTCCTAAAAAAGGAATACAATTTTATGTGTAAACATGGGACGGTGGTGTGACACCCAAAGTTGGAAGGACTGGGATGGAAAAGACAATGGCTGGGAGCTGTGGCTCCAAGCTGCAGGTATGGTAGGGCATACTGCTGGTGTCAGATAGGAAGTCCTGCCTATATCCAAGATACAATTGAACAAAATCTGTGGTATATTTTCTACAGATATAAAAAGTCATCTCTATACCTCCTTTCACATTTGCTGTCAAAAATGAACAAAACACCCACCAGACTAGTAGACCCTAAACACTTTCATATGTCCTGGACCAAGTGCCAGGGTACAAAAGTACAAACCAAAACACATTCTTATTGTGTGGCAAAGGTAAGCAAACCAGACAAACCAAATTGACTTAATATATGCTGAGTTACTCTCATTCATTCAGCTGTCATCATTGTTTGTGACAATGACCCTGCTCAGCACTTTCAAGCATAACTCACCTTGACTACCGGAAGCTAAGAACAGTATTGCAGATGAATTAGTGCAGCAAAAGGATATATTTGACCATACATGCTAAGAATGAAATTTTCAAATTATGTAACAAAATAATTCGTGTCTTGCACTCCATTGGGCACGGTTCAGATTAACCACTTGGATTTCTCTCCTCCCGCCCCTATAACCGACCGCAATCACATCCGACGTGCGCACCACGGCTGATGTCAACGTCTAAAGGTAGGAATCTTATCATGCGCCGCATAATTGTACTTAGTGCGCTATGTTTGCAAATCTTTTGTACTCTGGCGCCAATCATCAAGACGTTTCATGGTTATCCTTTTGACCATGGTACAAGCCTTGATTTACACAAGGATGCTAAAAGTACGAAAAGTATCATTGAAAAAATTTATAAATTCAGCTGAAAATAATCGATATACCTGGCTAAATCTGCATAACTTATGCAACAAGTCACTTCTTTCAACCTCCTGCACGCATTTTCGTAATGACAGATATAATGCATTTCCGTAAGCTCAATGAAGAACTCGCATCTTATTTTTTTGGAGATACAATTAAAATGTGTCATGCCAAAATTTCTAAAAAAACATCTAGTGTTGAAACAGACAAGCAATGGTACTCGTATCAGCCACTAGATGGTGGCGTATAAATCGGCTGTTCTTTCTGCTGTACAGCGTCCTCACACGTATCGATCAAAAGTGGTTAGTTTTCGGTTAAACGTCGTTAAAAAAAATTCAAAATTCATCATCCACCTTTAATAAACTATCTGTATCATTTTGATGCGACGTAATACAATAGGCAAATCCGCATATTCGAGATGCATTCACCCTGCGTATTCCTGGGTGACCCGCCCCAAACTGGCGGCACCCACCATTCGGCTATCCACACCGGGTGTGGCTAAACATTACTAATTTCTCTTATACCGCTCAAGAACATTTCTGAATATTTTGTGCAAAACCCGAAAAAACAGTGCAGACGGCCTGACGACTTTTTAATTCCGTACCCCCCTGCAGTAACGATGGCAAAAGCAACAGCGTGTGCTTTGAACGTAGCAGGTCTGCGGACTTACAGTTGTCTCAAATCACGTGAATGGAACCTATGCTTATTCGTCACATGGCTAGAGGTGCACGCAGACTTGCAAACGCGAATCCAGGGGGCAGGGGCAACAGTCTTGGCTCGTCTGAAAATGGCCAGGCTTGGACAAAAAATGGCACGTTCCTGGACATAGCTACCTAACATTAACCACAGGAATTTTGAATAAGAACATCTCTGCGGCTAAAAGTAAACGAAGTCCAATGAGGTGGAAATCGGGACGCCTGTTTGGGCTACGGACTACCACAAACAGACGCCGCCCTCCTCAAAAGGCAGGGTTCTGAACAGGCCCATGATGATCACATCACAGTTCACGCCGACTTGCTTTTTGAGAGTGGGCTGATTCGTGATTTTATTTAGGTTTGGAAGGAAATCATGACCTATCGATTCAAAAGCATATTTCACAAGTTCTTATTAACGCTTACCAAACACTTTGAGTCACGCATGACCTGCGTGGATCACAATGTTCGATTCGATTCTGTAGCCAGTTAAGCTGCCCGTGTATTACCGGTGGTTACCTGTCGCCGCTCCGCTCACATGTAGACACGAGATTACGGACCGCGGACCGCCCGGCCACAACTATGACCATGTCGTGTGCCCACTGTCGTCCGAGGTGTCAGCACCGGTCAAGTAACTACAGCCGACCATGGCCCGGTACAGCGACACCAGCGTGTTGTTCCAACTCAGCCCGCTGTGATGGTTCGGACCGGTGTCATGCCACCCACGGGGCGCTGCGAAGACTCCTGCCGAGTGTGCTGAGCAGGTCCGTTATAAGTCGCTGGGGTTTTACATCGCAACCAGATGTACATGGCGGCGCCTGCCTCTCACCCTCAGAGAAAGAGCGGGCACCGGGAATCGAACTCCCGTACCTCTGGTTTCCCAGACTCCAGACAGACACAAGGTTTGCAAATGCGGGCGTTTAAGACCAGAACAAAATGACCTACTGATGAAGGCCATCCCATGTCCATGGCCCCCAAAACAGCAACACAAAACATACACAGAAACCATTGTTGCATTGCATTCCAAATTGAGCTGCATAACCGGAGTATCTTCCAGTTCAATATTTGCTCCAAAAAGGACAGAAAACGCCCCATTCTAAAAATGGCTGTTATTCTTTCCTGTCAATAATTTACATCATACATAGCATAGTAATAGCACAGCTCAGTTACCACAGGTGAATCCGTGACCAGCTTCTGTTGCAAAACAATCCTGACATGAAGCCCGGAGCACTCTGGGGCCTGCCATTGGGCGGACGATTCCAAACCACCACAATCATAGGCAGCCCAGTGGGCTCATGGTTGTTTACCATAAACGGTCAGTGGCGGAAACGTCTCACATCTCCGTTATTATTTTTGCTTACAGCTGTCTGTTTCCAGACATAAATGCAACGATGACACTGTTATGGACGGATATGAGCCAGAACTGATCAACGGACATGTGGAGACTGAAAAGCATCGGTGAGCTTGGATCAAAATTAATTATCTGACATTTGGAAATTAAAAGACAGATAGAAATAGCCTGGAGTGATGAGGACGTCTTTGTCATGCTTCTCAGTCCTATCCCTTCCTGGGTAGATATGAAACGTTCTGAACACGCCCTCGGATGGGCGCTTCCCCTTCACTACCCTTACCCTACCCCTACCCCTACCCCAACCCTAACCCTAACCCCTTCGCTCTGTTGGGGTAGAGGCCTCAGATCTCAGAAACTAAGAGGGCTTCATACACCAAATTCGCAGTGTGTGTTGGCCTGTATGTGAACTCTGATGTGTCAAAATGCGAGGTTCCTAGGTCGTGATATTCGGGTCAAATAAGGAAAAACAAGGTCAAACTACAAATTGGTGTTCAAAATGGTCCCAGGATCTGTTCTAAGCAAAATGAATATTGGTGCCCATTTAAGGTCAATGACCCTGTGTGATCTTTCAAAGGTCATGGTTGCCAGAATCAGACAAGACTACTTTGAGTTTGCATTCAAATAAGCATCAAATTTTCTGCTAAGCAGTATGTTCCTGAAAACAAAACATTGGCCTGGGTCATTTTAGGTTAGTGACCTGTTCTGACCACTAAGAAGTCCATGGAAGATGCATAATGTGGTTACTGATATCAATACATTGTAAATGAGCACCAGAAACTATTCCATACAGCAAACTCTAGAGCGATAGAATAGGTTGGTTTTGATCTTGGTCTTACTTTGATACCTGACCCTAGATCAATTAAATCTAAACATCATATTGCTGCCAAAAAACTATCTCAGAGATGTATGGCTTCGTCTAACACTCCGTTGGTGCATCAGATTGAACGATTCCCTACAAATTGTCCGCTGAATGCATGGACTGACTTTGACCTGCTGTAGGTCAGCGACCTAACAAGGTATAACTTAACTTTTAATACCAAATGATTCACTACTCAGTTGTCTACAGCTATGCGAAATTTGGCGCGGCTACGCTGTGCGGTCCAGAAGCCATTCAGGAAAAACCTGTGGGGGAAGAGTCAAACTGAACCCCCACCCGAGCGTGTTTCAGCACTGAGATGCGATTCGATGATGATGATGATGAGATGAGACATTCATTCCACCCACTGAGCATGCTACACATGCATATACTATGGTTTGATGGTTGTGATTGTAAAATCTTAGCAAAGTGTCATGGTTCTTATGGTGACCAGTTGTGTACACCACAATCTTTTGGTAGCTTTGTATATGTTTGTCAGACAGCTGATCATGAGGTATCACAGATTTTACAACCATTGCCTAAAGCTTTGGAGGGTCCAGGATTTCTGCTTTCTGGTATTTAATGAAACAGTTATCAAATGCTGCTAAGAGGAAACCAACTGGTGGGAGATGCTACTTTGGTTCATAACCATCACAGAGACATGAGTAGGTGTACCACTGATCCTTGAAATCATAACCTTGTTGCCAGGTAGACAAATGATGAAACTTTAAGAGAATTTTACAATGTCAACAATGGAAAACAATGCTACATTAAAGACCTGCACATGACTGCCTCAGAACATGAAAGTGCTCACACAAATGCACAATTAGTAAGCATGTAGCTAACTTACTAACCTATTCTTAGCTATCATGCCACATACCAGAAATTCCATCACTATTATTTATTTATCATATGGGTTCTACAGTTACATGCACTTTCCTGTTCTTTTATCAGTCAATATGACACAAACACATGACATATGTACCCCATCTAACACACACATATCTTATGGTAAACAGGTACTTGTATTTACTATATAGTGCCAAAATCTCACTGTTGATGTATGACATGATTAAAACTGATGTTGGTAATTGGTGGTGTGCCCATACTGATCCCTCAGTTGGTTAGAGCACCACCTGCCTGCCTCCCAATCCATCCTGGTGGGATGGGTTTGAGTCACCTAAGGCACTTACTATCTGTCCTGGAACTTAACAAATATGGCCTTCAGTTAATGGCCTGCCCCCATTAAACATCAGAGGGCAGAATGGAACGTGATAAGCAATGCAAATTTACCTTTAGCCACTATATTCTGATGCTGACCTGGGATTGCGTAGTTGGGTGCTAGGAGCTCAGTGCTCACACTGAACTCACTGCTTAGCATGAGCTCTGATCCAAGAAATACATCCCTTCACAAAGATTCAGATTATATATCAAAAAGATGCTTTATATCAGGAAGTTACAAATTAATTAATGTGCATAAAAAGCAGTCATCTAAAGAATAACCAGACCATCTTTTGTGATGCAAATTCTTAAGTGATGCAAATAACATATCTCATCCTCAACTTCTACACAACACTGTAAACATAGCGCAAATATCCTTAAGCATTGCTATATGGCTGCATCACAACAAAGCAGGTTATGCAATGGCAGCTTTTTCTGTGCAAAGCAGTCATACTCAAATAAAACCCAGACACTTTGAGCAATCAACTCCAAAATAATGGCATTTGAAAGTGCCATCTGATCAGAGTATCTCATTGGTGTCACTTTTTTGAAATCCCGCCTTCCGTTCCAACAGTGTTACAAATGACACAACAATCAAAACGCGTGATGACGCGCGAAATTTTAAAATACGAGGCAACGACGTCACTCATCAATGCCTTAATGATTCTCGACTGAAGATGTCGACCAACCCCCCACCAGGAAAACCTATCTAGAAAACCCATCAGCCAAACCCATCTTTATACGTTATATCAACAATGCCAAAAGTAAGAACGTAAACCGTGCGCCAGAACTGTAAAGCTATCAAGTCGTCCATGGACTAACCATTTTCCGAGTTTTTCGAAAGTAATATAAAAAGCTCTGGAAATAGCACACAGAAATTACTGAGATTTAGACTTCTCCGTCCACACCCAAGCGAGAAATTCTAGGGAGTGAGGAATGGAGCTTTTGGTTGGGGTGATGTGTGTTTCATTCATGTGAGCCCTCGGAAATAAGGCTTGGTGGGACACCAAATCGTGGACATGCCACGTATATTTTTATTTTCGTTTCTCCAAGTTATAAAGCGTTGGTAGGGCGTCAAGAACAAGGCGAAGTGGATGTCGGCGTGAGGAAGCCGCGCTCAGCCATACCAACCTACGATGTTCACTTGCTGTTTGTCGGAAGAAGCTATACAGCAGATTAGAATCAACCAAGAGATTGAGAAACAGTTAAAAAGAGACAAGAGGGATGCGAGGAGAGAACTCAAACTGCTCTTGTTGGGTAAGGAAGATGGGCATCATGGCATACTAGTTATAGGTTAATAGTTTTCTTTGACATTTTAAGTTTTAATGCTGCCTGTGTGATTACAGTCAGAGGCTGTGATGAATATGTGTTGTTAATTTCTATGTATTTTATGTACTTGCCACTGACATGCTGCATTTTGCAAGATGACTGTGTCATGGGGGTTAATGACTACTGGTAACAAAGCTCCAAAAGTTAATACATGACACTTAATTTATGTCAAGTGTCTCTTCCTTATTAATTCCTTAAATTTAAGAGATTTTGATCAGTATTTGAATGGGCACTAGGCCTCTGATTCTAAATTATGTCTCACATATAGTTATTGCAGCTCATAGATATGTTGTCTGATATACAGGAAACCTTGGTTACTGTTATGCCTACTTAGCAATACCTGTAATATAAGATTGGCAGGTTAGTAAGCTTAGTTGTGGTGCATGGATTTTACTGGTACCCAGTTACAATCACTTATGTGCTAAATGGAGCAACCAAGCTTATTTAGGGTAGACATGTGTGGTTGATGGAAAGCAACTGATCCATTATTCTTGACTCATGTCATGAACCATCATGGTCTAATAATATACTAACTGAAAAAACTGGGAGGTATCTGGCTGAGTGAAATGTTTCCCATATGTATTGAGCTCTCAAGCACCATTATTATACTGTTGACTAGTAAAATAAAAGGGTATTACTTGCAATACTGGTTGGTAGAAAGTAAGAAATCTATCAGCAAGCTAGAGAATATTAGGGTTGAGGTAGAAAGCTTAAGTGTCTTGTTATTGGTGCCTTGCTTGGCCAGGTTATCTCAGATATGTCATGCACAACAACCATGTTGTCATTGCGGTCAATTTTTAGTAATTAAAAAAGCTAGGCTTCAGGGACAGCTTATGGACTCTAACTCTCTGTATTTCCCTGGTTATACCCATGCAAGAGCATGGAGAATGGCAGGGGCAAATCCTGGCTGATCGTCAAGGCCAGGATCCCTTAAAATGGCCAAAGCTGATAAAACACGATGCATTTCTAGATGTTAAATAACATCTAAACATGTTTTGATAAAAGCTGGTTTTTACACTGTGGGATAAAGAGAAGTAAAGTATGGTGAGTATTTAAAATCAGACCACATTCTTAGACTGCCAACTCTCAGCCAACATTGCACCCCTCACCACCACAATTGGCATGCCTGGTCTGTTCTGGATGTTTGGCATGCCAGGGGTGATTTTATCACATGGTTGTACCACTAATGGTTCACTCTGATTTTTGTTAGATAGGTGTACCACAACTTATTTGATGTACTACTTGCCAGAATAAACTAGGCTAGGCAAGAACTGCATAGTGCCCATGTTTTTCTATGTTATATTGCCAACGCAAAATGAAATAAATGCATCATGTTGGTGGATTTAGTTTGATGCAAGTGCCTATTGATTTTGTCAACATTTCCAAAGTGTGAGTCATGGGTCTTCTTAGCCTTACAGTTCATTTGTCACATTGTGCCTCGCAGTAAAACACAAACATTGTGATGAGGAATTTGTGCTTGTATCTTGTGGTATATTTGATCTCAAGGCTAAATGTGCTTTGCACTTGATTTCCTTGTTGATGTTTCAGTTGGCCTCAGGATTTTCTTTCATTACCTAGGTGTTAGTTGTGTCCCATAGATATACTTTACATTCATTTTGGTGTCAGATGAATATTTTGCCATGCCATGATCACAGCTCAGATAGTTGTGGACAATATGACCCCATCACACACACACACACACATGCACGCACGCACGCACGCACGCTCGCACGCACGCATGCACACACGCATGCACTCACACATGCACACACACACGCACGCAGAGCCCCTTTTTTGGAAAAAGTGCCAAGCTGTCTACCCAGGCAGCTCCATCCAAATATTGCAACTAAGCAAATCACTATAGGCGAAGAAGGATGCTTGATGCACAATGGAAAGACATTATGTACTTCTGTGTACCCATTGCCATATAAGTGCAATAATTATGAAGACCTCCCCATGGTTTTGTCTCTAGGGAAGCCTGTGTGTGCCTTACTATTTGGGTATTGGCACAGGATGTGCAGGATACATAGATGGACAGCTTCCACAAATTTTATCACCTTTACTCAAACCCGCATGCTGGGCATACACATTGTCATACTACACCAAGAGTTCACTCAAATGGTTGGGCTCAGTGCTGAACTGGACTTACTTACAAGCCAATGTATGTGGGCAGACAATAAAATGTTTCTGTTGTGTAATATCTGCAGCCTAGAGTCACAAATTATGTACTCAGTGGGTATGGTCTTGAATGACCAATGCTGAAGACTGACCCATGGCAAGTCATATTCTCAAATAATCTTGCTGGAACAAAATACCTTTCCATGTGCAGGCAAACCCATGTAGGCTGTCATCATTTTGTTCTGTGGTGGCAGTTTGATGTTATTTAGGATGGCATGAGGTATCATCTAGGTGTCTATCAGCATGTGACACAAGCTGTTGCCTATCAGTGAGATAAAATCATGCTACTATTGCTGTTATCTGCTGCATTCAAATCACTGGACAAGGGTGGTGGGTTCTTGGCCTATGGAACAAGCTGTTGGTGGCAAGGACTGGTCCCATTGCAACCTGAGTGAAACACTCACTATAAGGAAGATGCTGGTGCAGCACACAACAATGAAAAATGCTTGAGGTTTACTTCATTTTATGAAATACCAACTTGTGAAACCATCATGATCTGACATGGAAATAACTCAGTCTTCAATTAAACCATCATGGTCTCTTGAAACATGCCACAACCATTGGCACAGTACAGCACCAAGGAAAGTGCATGAACATTGAACAGGCTCAGAATTAAAAACGTTGCCCATCACTTTTGTGATTATGTTTAGATGCAGCCTATAATGGCTTGAACTCCACAAATATCATTCAGGTGTATTGAACATATGTTGACAGGTGTTGGAAATGTCATATTTTGGGCATAATCAAGAAGCTGCAGCAAAATAAGTGGAGGGTAGAGTGCCATATGATGCTCTGCCACCAAGTGATAGGTTAGCTGGATTCAGTATTTCTAGACACCAATATTTTTATGAGCATGGTTATGAACTTAACAGCATTCATGCTTACTGCAGTACAGTGCATCTATCAATCATCTTTTTGCTTTGGAAGAAATGACATGACATGATGCATACACATTCTGCAGTTGATGTGATACACACATGTTCTTTGTCTGTGCAGGTGATGTGCTGAGCCAGTGGAGGACCCCCAATGTGACACATGATGTGGAGGTCTGGCTGTGCTGTCATATGTGAGGATGATCAATCTGGCTCCATGACATGTGAGGTGACATAGCGGGTGCACAGTTTCATGGTGACATGGAGACAGTATATCTGACCTGGTTGTGGCGTGAGAAGCCCACACGGAGCTTACTTGTGATGCGTGTAGTGACATCTGGCTCCATTGCCACATATGATGTAAGGCTGATACGCAGATCTAATGACATGTTTAAGGCTGACGCCAAGCTGAGCATTAACATCTGAAGCTGGAAGTGGGGTGTGTCAAGGTAACATGACATTTGTCATGACATTTCAAATGGACGCTGTGACGCTCTAAGCAGCTGACATTGCATTTCAAGCTGGCTTGCAATGTTTCAAATGGACAGGATGGCGCTTCAAGGTGTTGTCATGACGTTTGGTGAGGGCGTCATGGCCGAATGGTGAGCACTTTAATTCTCACGCGGGGGACCCGGGCTCGAATCTAGTTAGCGCCCTGAGCCCCGAGTGCTCATATGATCAGCGCAGTCGCTGGCTGGCGGTCAGCATAAGGTTGCGCAACGGCGGGCGTCGCTTCCCTTTAAACAGATAAAGACGTGTGGGGCTGACGGGATGCTTGAAGCTGACATCCTGCCCCCGGGCACCACACGGCTGTTGTGATTTGTGAGGCTGACAGGCAGGTGCAGGGCGTATACGAGGCTGACACACAGCATGGTACAACATTGAAGGCTGATATCCTGCTGCTCTGCAGCACGTGAGGCTGGTGCTAGGCGTCTCTGTAGCATACAGGCATGGGCGCAACCACCGCGTGTCACTGTGGTCCCAGACACCGGTAACTTTTGAACGTGTTTGGCTAATTTTTGCGTCTTTTCGATTCAAAGAACATCCTAGTTAATTGGGCCTCATTTAAGTGAAGCCAAACTGCAGCAGAGTTTGCAGACACTGCGTTTTTTGGTATTCAAGCGCTCGACGGTATTCGACGTGCGATTCGTCGTAGTGAGTGGTCTGAATATACGGGAAAGGTTATATTCCGAGGAGCATGGGCCAACACACTGTAAAGTGTGCTGACTTCTTTGAGCTCCCTTGTTGCGTCTCAGTTGCTTCTATCGCCCTTCGTGTCTAGCTCCTAGTCATCGCCGCCTGGAGTACTGAGGGTGCGGTAGTTCGTCACAAGCCAGACCACTTAATCGTCAAGGTTCCTGGCCCGATTTACTTAACGGAAGCCAAACGAGGAGATATCAGCACATCAGTCGTAACGTTATAGGAAGCGCTATGCTGGTTTTCCCATCAGCGTGAAAAGTTGCCGTTTGTGTAGCGGTTGGCGCGTCTGCGTTAGCCACTGTGCGTCTGAGAAAGCAGAGATACGGGGCTCGTTTGCGGCGCCCGCCCTTCCTGCCAGGATGAGAGGCAGGCGGCGCGATGTTGCCTCAGCAGCTTAGTGCATCATAAAGCTCCAATGACCAACAAGGTGAAATAACCACCGAGAAGCAGGTTTAAGTCCTTTTTGGGATTGCCGTACCGATTAGGCCCACCAGTGAGGTAGAAGGAAGGAGGTCTGTCTTAGTGTAAGGTGCATGACTGCGGGCGCTCACTTTCTATAAGAATCATCAGTGGAGCTTAGAAAACTTTTTTTCTGCGCTGTCTCGCAGTCTCGGGCAGCTTCGTCGGATGTGCAGCCGGGTCCATTAGCTCGGACCTTGCATGCGTTATGGAGACGAGCATGTCCTGCTGCGTCATCACCTGCGCCAGAGGTGCCCTCTGGCGGATGGTGCCAACGTTTCGCCACTGTCGGCCAGTGCAACTTCCAGCCGCTCCTCCGCATCGCAATTCGTATGCGTTGGAAAAGGGGAACTCGTACTATGCTTCAGTCAATTTCTGTTCCGCAGCTCACTGCAGACGGTTTTCATTGCGTCGTTGACTATGGAGCAGGCCGTCGTTCGTCATTAGGTCCGGACTGAGCTCGAATGGCGAAGCAACTGGGAGTGGGTCATTAGCTTGGTGATCGAGGAATCCAGCGATGTTCGGTTCTATCGCTTGAGCTTAACACGTGACACTCCGGGTCAGGTCAGTTCTTCGGCACCTGCCCAGTCAAATGAGCACACCTCAGTGTTCTGAATCAGATTCAGTGTGGAACACGTCCTATGGCAAGCTGGGGTCAAACAAAACTGAAAGGTCTTTACCCTTGGTTGATGTTGGAAAGGTGGTCTGTCATGTTGGGTGTGTGCTTGTTGCTGACTAATATTCAATCTTGAGATCATATCCAGAGGCTTCATTGATTGCCATTGGGCCCATCCCCCCCCCCCCCCCCAGAAAGAAACATCGGTCCTTGAATGGGTGGGCAAACTTGCGTGGAAGGTGATGTAGCTCAGTGGAATGTCACGGTGTGGTATCAATCGTTAAAAAATGGACACTTAATTCGTCATGAGCCATGCCAAATTTGACAGAGCTCACGCAAATCGTTGTGTTGTGGTCTTGACAAAAGAAATGGCGCTTGGCGAGCGGCGTCCACCTTCTTCCCCTCCACGGGGGGGGGGGGGGGGGAAGGGGGCGGTTTAAGGGGTCGTACCACCTTTGGGTCATGTTTCAAAGACGTACCTTGGTGAAACCTTAGGATAAATTATGTCTAACGATGACACTCGAAATTGCCACTAAAGCACCAGCAAGATATAAGGACATAATTTTAACTATCTTTAGGTCCAGTTGACGCGGTCATCGTTTCTGTGCGGCACCAGACTTTTCTTGTCTGTATCCTTCAAATTTATGTTCTTTAGTGAGCGATTTTTTTACACATGAGGCATACAAGTGTGATCTTCGTCGTGGCCTCCGCGACTGTGTGCGGCGTTTTCACGTGAATACCGTCCCAAATTGGCACGCAGGCTGGCATGATGCAGAGAAAAAGCTACCGGCAGTCAGCGGCGATCTGACCCCTTGTACACGTCATATGTGGTGGTCAGAATTCACTCGATCATTCATTGGTATGGATGACATCAGTAGAGATGAACGTTTGGGACTGGCGCGGCCGGTAGCCTAAGCCGTTCCGCGGAGTGTGCGGTGGTGGCGGTTTGAATATGAACGTTACCAGACCACATGACATATCCCTAGCAGATACCTGCTTTTTAAATACAGCCTTGCAGCGAACTGAGCATCCAGGTAAGCGATGTTTGCGAAAACCGATGTGCCCTTCAAATATCACCATGGTGAACTGAACTCCATACGGGGAAAACAAAGTGGAAGTGTGATAATTCGTTGACTTCATGTGATAATGATCTCACGTTTTATGCTTGTTTTCCTATGTAGAGTATTTTAAGTTCGCATGCCATTTACCATTACTGATGCCCCAAAAGTGCGAAAAAGGCTTCCTTGAAGTTAATTTAACGTAAACGTTTAGGTGAACGCCTAGGAATTGACATGAAGAGAATTGGCTTCAACCCCCATTTTGTCCCTGCGGTCAACACCGCGGTCAGCTCTTTTCCTGCGTTCTGGCGTTGACCGCGGTGTTCCCATTCACGGAGAGCCTTGTTAGGGGTGGCCAAAGTGCCCTTAATTGTTTGGTCATCTCCTTGGCGGTTACATGATGGCGATATGAGTATGATTGAATGCGTCTTGTTTCTTCCAGACGAGCGTGATGCCATTGGTGTTATGCATGCAAACTGTTAAATTTTCGAGAGCACACCAAGAAGAAACAAAAACCCGCCTGATTGTTGGTTACCAGTTACCCTCCCAAAGCCAAAAACGGCACCGGGAAGCGATCTTGTCATCGCTGGACGCCGGTAGCCCCACGGGGGGTGGCGTCCGTTCGTGTGATGTTGAGACCCCCCGCCCTATCTTGACCGGAGTCTGCTATGGTTGGGTGCGCAGACTGCTCCGCTGTGGCGGGTCAGGCGGACACCGGGCAACGCCGCGACGTGGTAGGGTGACACCCGGGCTCGTTACGGTGTGGAAGGATGACACTGGGCCCCACAATGACGTGTGCTGTTGATGTCTTGTTCCGTTTGTGATGTGACTTGCGGGCACCCAACTCTAATTTGATGTGTTTTGCTGACACCGGTCCCTGTTATGGTGTGTGAGGCCGATACCGGGCCCTGTGGTGGTGTGTGAGGCAGATACCGGGCCCTGTTGTGTGTGAGGCCGGCACCGAGCCCTGTTGTGGTGTGTGAGGCCAACACCGAGCCCTGTTGTGATGTGTGAGGCCGGCACCGAGCCCTGTTGTGGTGTGTGAGGCCGGCACCGAGCCCTGTTCTGATGTATGAGGCGGACACCGGGCCTTGTTGTGATGCGTAAGGCCGACACCGGGCTCTGTGGTGGTGTGTGAGGCCGACACGGGGCCCTGTTGTGGTGTGTGAGGCCGACACGGGGCCCTGTTGTGTGTGAGGCCGACACGGGGCCCTGTTGTGTGTGAGGCCGACACGGGGCCCTGTTGTGTGTGAGACCGACACGAGGCCCTGTGGTGGTGTGTGAGGCCGACACGAGGCCCTGTTGTGGTGTGTGAGGCCGACACGGGGCCCTGTTGTGTGTGAGGCCGACACGGAACCCTGTTGTGGTGTGTGAGGCCGACACGGGGCCCCGTTGTGGTGTGTGAGGCCGACACGGGGCCCTGTTGTGGTGTGTGAGGCCGACACGGGGCCCTGTTGTGGTGTGCGAGGCTGCCACCGGGGCCTGATGTGGCAGCTGACGTGGGCTCCATACGGCAGGCACTGGTGAGTCGGGCAAGTCGACCTTCATCAAGCAGATGCGCATCATCCATGGCGTGGGCTACACGGACGAGGACCGGCGCGGCTTCACCAAGCTCGTGTACCAGAACATTTTCATGGCCATGCAGAGCATGGTCAACGCCATGGAGATGCTGAAGATCGACTACAAGAGCCCCGAGAGCAGGGTTAGTCCTCGTGGCCCACTGGGTACCCGCAGACCGTTGTCTGTGCCCTGATGGGGCGGCGACAAAAGCGTGGCGCTCTCGATTCGTGTAATAGCGCTGGAAGCGGAGTCGGACATTGTGCGTTATTTGTGGGCTCGTAAGTGGTTGTCCGGCGAGAGAGAAGTACGCGCTGTATTAAAATGCTTAAACTTGGATAGTTTTAGGTGTCAAACTAGAAGACTCTTACAGTCCGAACATCCATTTCATTTTGACGTTCACGCTGTAGAAGCATTAAATCCCTAGACGCGATAGTAAAATTCTTTGTTTCCAATAGGTAACGTGGAAAGAACACAATTGTATAAGCTGCCCACTATCTGCCATGAACACGGCGAAATTCATTGATGTCAGTCTGATGGTAGTTTGCCTAATATCCAGTCTTAAAATTGGTGTAGACCTTTTGCTTTAATAGTTAATGGTGGCATCGTATGGTGATGGAAGTGACGTGTTTACAGTCCATGTTAAATTGTTGAAGGGGTTGGGTGCGCCCAACGTGCGACTCCAATTTTATTTGTCGTAGAAAGAGCGGAAAATCCCGAAACCGGACGGCAGTTCTCCAATCCTAGCCAATTCCAAGCGCCTGCAGGTGTCATGTGGATAGTGAGGGCGTGTCGAAACTTCCTTGATATCTCACTCGAAAACCGGTTTTGGCGTGACCATCCCTTTGAAAGCGGTATGATGCATTTTGCTTGTAGTGAGACGCATATTTGAACACAGATATAACAAGCTGGCTCAAAGCACCAGGTATTCTGGCTCCAATGTCCTGGATTACCGATGCCCCCGTAACGGGATCGGGGCGTCACGATACATTTCTCGGCTGTATCAGTGGGCTGTCGGTCGAAGTTGAGATTAAGACACTCGGTGCTTGTCTCGGATATGACCATGTAATCAATCTCACTGAGTGGCCTCTGCTTTATGGCCTTATAGTTGTGCATAGCGAAGGTTTTATCTGTCTTGATATCGTGTGATGCCGGTGTCGGCTCCGGCTCGTCTGTGCCACAAGTGCTGGGGTTTTCTGTCCGGTGCAACAGTCTAGCCCCCAGCACGCGCGCGAGGCGCGGGGCGACACAGCGTCCACTTGACCGCTCTTTTCGTCGACGTGCGTCCGCTTGCTTTTCTTTTCGTTCATTTGCGTCCACTAGCTCCTGTTCTCACAGGAAGCGTGCTCTCTGCTAGTTGGTACTGCTTATGGCCTCAGCAGCTGTGATTCGAGGTGCTGCGGATAGAGTTTGCGCTGAGGCCCGCTGAGTGTTCCGGCTTCAGAACGCCTCAGGAGCACGCATCGCGCACGGGCGGCTGAAGCACGCGGCTCGTGCGTGGCTCGCGCGGCTCCGTCGCGTCGCTGTTTTCGCAAGAGCTCGCCACGCGGGAACTGGGAGGCAGCCAGCGGCGATGCGGCGCAGGTCGGCGTGAGGCAAAGCCACGGCCCCCAGCGCTGCGCGTGTTATGAAGTGGCTCCGGGGCAGGCGCAGCTATGTGAGCGATCAGTTGAGGCGCTGGTCCCGCTCGCGAACTCGCCAGACATGTCCCGCTGGCGGGCGCCAGACGTTGTTATATTGGAGACGCCTCCCAGACTGGACTGTGAGCTGAGGCACCATGGATCACGCACTGCCTGATCTCGTGGATGTGACACCGCTCCGACCGGCTTGGCGGGGCTCGGCGGAAACGGTTGACATTTGGTGCGAAAGGACTGACGCAATATTGTGCTGGCTGTGATACTTTTAGTTTGGGAGACTTGCGCGTGCGCCGGTCTGCGACAAGTGGGGAGCAGCGCTTTTGTCACATTCCGGGAATCAGTCCGGCAATCTCGCCCGCATCTTCCCTATCGGGGATCATGTTTGCTCGCGCCCGGCGCCGCACGATTCGAAATCAGTGGCGGCGGCCGCCACCGCCACGATAAACGCCCGCAAGGTCACGAACGCACGAGGCCGACGTCTCTCGACGCGGCGCGCGCCGAGCTTCGCCTGGGCTGCCGCGGCGCGTCGCTGGCGCGGCCGCGGGACGCCGCAGCGGCCGCCGCTCTGGCGGGCCGGCTGGGACGGCCGCCGGACGCCGTATATTCATGGCGGCAGCCGGGGGTGGGGCCGGCGGCGCGCGCGGCGGCAGACCGCGCGCTGCAGCCGGCCGGCCGCCGAGCGGCACGCTTTGTGCCGCCGCCGGTGTGACGGCCCGGCCGGCGGCGGCCTACACGCCGGCTAGCTGGGATGGGGTATGTTCACGTCCGCGCCTTCCGTTCCGATGCCAGGATGATAGGTGACCGCGGCCGGTGCGAGAGGCGAGGTTGTTCGGCGCGGGTTGGGAAGCCACGCCAAACAAGGACGGCGCATTTTAATGCTCTTGTGCGTTTTGTAAGTGGTGACCGATTGAGCTCAGTGACGTGTAATGCACAGTGGGCTACTTTGTGTCAAATCATGCGCATGTACCTAAACAGTGGGCCACGCTTGGCTTTGTAACTTCTCTTTAATACGTGTTAAGACAATGTACCACGCTTGCCGTTGTATTTTTTCCTATGGCACGTTTGCCAACCGACCAATTGCTCTGCACGCCACCCATTGTCTGGGGTTTGGCTCGGCGAAGTTGCGACCTTGCAGTAATATTTATTCGACCCGATATGGTGCGCTCAGTAAGATAACGATAAGGCTCTGTCCGTGCACGACAGCGGTGAGCCAGGCACCGTGCTCCATTGCCAGCTGGGTTGTTCTGAGCAGCGGTGTCTAACCAGAACCATAGGTTTCAAGAAACCGACCCGGAAAACGACATACTTCCGGCGACAAACTGCAAAGCCAAAAATGTACAGCCAGTGTCACCCGCCGTGCTGACTATAAAACGCTGTAATTGATTTTGCTAGTTATCCGCAGCGAATCGCTAAAAAAGCAACCCGCCAGTCCCTTAAAATGAGAGTATGGAGCGCCTTCCAGCACAGCTCTCACAGTCTGCAGCTCCACGACCAGCCAGGCCAGTAGGCCTTCCTACACCGGACGTTTTGCTCCGTCCGCGATGCGATGCGGATACGGCAGAACACGTCATTTCGCACGCCACCGTTGCATGCCAGAAGCTGGGTGTGTGACGTTCGAATCAGCATATCTAAAAGGCGATCACTTGTGTGGTTCTGTGTGCCGATGTAACTGCCCGGCTCATGGACCCCGGTGAATAAATGTAGGCACGCAAGCCATTCAGTTTCGGTGGCGTGTGATTGCGCATGACCGCAAATAAACAACGCCGTCTGAGTGCCAGCTACCTGCAGTCTGATCTCGGTGGGCAAGGCCACGGACGGTAGCGCCCGCGCCTGAGCCCTGCCCGTGTGGCGTTGGGCTGGACAGCGGGATCCGCGCGGCGGCCTGGCCTGCCGGCCGGCCGCAGCAGCGACGGCGGCGGGGCGGCGCGGCGCGCTAATGCCGCCGCCTGGTCGGCTCCCGCCGCTAAGCAGATCGCGGAACAGGATGGGCCTCGGCGTGGCGGCCCGTGCCCGCCCGGGCGCCATGCCGCGCCGGTGCCCCGGGCCGGCGTGGGGCGGCGATACACCTCGGCGCCGCTGTTGCTGGCCGCCGCCGGCGGCTGCCCCCGCCCTCGGCCCCTCCCCCAGTCCGGGCCGTCCCAATGCTGTGATGTGTTTGGACTGCGGCGCCGGCCGGGCCGGGCCGCGAGAGCCGAGCCGGGCGGGCTCGCGCTGCTCCGGCTCAGGCCCTCCGCGCCGCTGGGGCGTAAGCCTCTGGCCGGTGAGCCGGCACCGGGCGCGCGCCGCCCGTATCGCCGCCTGCTGACCTGGTCTGACCCCACCTGACCTCATTTGACCGGCCGTGACCTGACCTGCGCCGGCCCACAGGAGCGGGCCGAGCTGGTGAAGGCCGTCGACCACGAGACGATCACGATCTTCGAGGAGCCGTACGTGTCGGCAATCCGCGAGCTCTGGAAGGACGCCGGCGTGCAGCGCTGCTACGAGCGGCGCAACGAGTACCAGCTGACCGACTCAACCAAATAGTGAGTGCCGGAGGCGCCGTCACAGGCTCCAACTGATAGAATCGGCCGTCGCAGCGCTGCGGAGAGCGTCTCGTCACGAGGAGCAACTGACCGACGACCGGGCCGGACGGAGGGCGATTTGCGGCCGCTGACGACGCCCCTGGTGGCTGTCTGCCTCGCGCGGGGTGCGCACGATCGTACAGCAGTGCTGTCCTCGGTCCCGCTGAAGTGAAGTGGATCCCGACTCAGACTCGCATCACGCTCAGCTGGTCCGGCGCCGGCTTTGAACGTTGTGATGGAGCTTTGAGCGGACTGCCGTTCCGCCCACTGAAGTGCGACCATAATCCTGGGGCCATTACGATAGAGGTGGTCTGAGGAACGGCAGCTGGTACGGGAACTAGTTTTCTGAGAATGGTACTGGCTTACAGTCAGTGATACATGAATACATCAAGTCATACGTCCTGAGTCCATTGCGGTAGAGGTGGTCTAAGGAACAGCAGCTAGTTCCGGAGCAAGTTTTCTGGGAATGGTGCTTGCCTACACTCAGTGACACATGAATGCATCAAGGAGTTCGTTTTTAGTGATGCATAGATACAGCTAGTGCTTAAGCTCACCACCCATTGCAACTGTCATGGTGGCAGCCGTAGTTCAGTTACGTTGCTTTTCTGTTCAGCTCATCGATGGTTCGATTCGGTATTCGTGGCTTTTTTATTGACGCTCATATTACCCAACTAATTTATTCCACATTGAATTTACCAAAATATTGTGTTGTGTCATGCGTGGATCCGGACTCCGCGTTCAGTCAAGCACAAATCTGCGAACAGATTTAGGTAGGGAAGGCATCACAAACTGAAGTTGATAGTACCTCCATGGGTGTTCAGGCTTGATGAACAAAGGGAACGGTGCACGACAGGTGGAACAGAAATAGATGAAGGCCAGCACATTGCCTTATTCCCTCGCTGGTGGTGCCCACTGGTATTTGACAATGCCACTTTGCACTATGACAGTTCAAACGATGTGCAAACTTGGTTTGGGTGTAAAGCCTGCCGATAGATGTTTTCAGACCGCAGGTTAGGAGTGTTGGCTTCCACAATCTCCAAATCAGGCGAGGGCTTACGGCATATGGATGCCTGAATGACCATAACTTCTTCTGAGCCAGAGGAGCTGCCGGATCGAGGCTCACGAACAGCCACCGGCGGAGGACCCGCCGCGCCGCCGTTTAAGCCATGCCCTGCTGCGGCCAGCTTCGGCGACAGGCATCTCACTCTGCACTGAAAGCTGCGGCCAGTGCGTTGTGTCGGCGGTGTGGTGTCGTGACCAGCTTTAGCGAGGCCCTCTCCTGGCGAACTGACCGGCGGCATCTGAACGTTTGACCGGGCCGGGCTGTTCTCGGCCGCCTCGCCCGCCACGCGCTGTCGTTCGTGCCACCTCGTGCTGCGCTGGTGTTCAGGAAGACCGATGCGAGCTAGTTGTATGCGAGTGAGCGCAAACTAGAAAGACCGGTCGTAGTATGATATGGACGCCAGATGGCCGCAGCTTTAGACGCATGCTGAATCGCCAGCAATTATCACCGAAGTGAGATGTGCATCATTAGGCCCGATCTGCCGTAACACGCGTGGAAACTCTCAGAACGGAATCGCCACTGTGGCTGCGCTGCCGCCTGCCTGGCGTCGTGCCGGGGCGCCTCAGCGCCGCGTGGACGGCTGCTCTGGTGTGTGACCGAGCGTCGTCCGCCGCCAGCTACCTGACCGACCTGGACCGGATAGCCTGCCGCGATTACCTGCCCACGCAGCAGGACATCCTACGCGTGCGCGCGCCCACCACCGGCATCGTCGAGTACCTGTTCGACCTGGACTCCATCATATTCAGGTGGGCCAGCAGCCGGGCCGAGACCTAGCGGCAACTACAGGACGGAACGGGACGGGACGGGACCGGGGACGGCGTCGGCGGCGACGCGAACTTTTGACCGCTAACCTTAGGCGGCGGCGGAAAGTCTGCGGCATGATTGCGCGTTTCGACATACCTGGACGGACCCGAAGTGAATTCTTCAGGAGTCCCAATGAGGAGTGGCCTCCCTCCTGAAGAGTGGCCTCCCCCCTGAGGAGTGGTCTCCCTCTCCCCCTGAGGAGGGCGGAGACCTCGTGTGGCCGCTGCCGGTCCGCGGGCGGGCGCCGGTGCTGACGGCACCCCGGTGCGGCCCCGGCAGGATGGTGGACGTGGGCGGGCAGCGGTCCGAGCGGCGCAAGTGGATCCACTGCTTCGAGAACGTCACCTCCATCATCTTCCTGGTGGCGCTCAGCGAGTACGACCAAATCCTGTTCGAGTCGGACAATGAGGTGAGGCATGAGCGGCGGGCGCCGGTGCCGGTGGGTGCCGCGACCCGGCGCACGTGTCTGGGTGCCGAGTGTGGGCAAGGAGTCGATCAGCCATGGCCTCCGAGCGGTGGATGAGAGTGGACCGTGGAAGGCTGATCGCCGACCGGTGGTTGGCGTGGACAAGGGGAAGGCGGGTGCCGAGGCTGGCAGGGCATTGGGCATTATCCGCATTGATAGGTGTGGTTACGCTATCTTTCCATCACTGGCGCTTAGATGTGCTTTTAATATTTGTCTGTTTTACTAAGCGACTTGTGACGCATATGTCACAGGCTTTTTTGGTTTTGTAGAACACATTGGGGGTTGGTGGTGTGCGCAAATAGGGGGAACCGGTATAGGCAACGCGGGTGCAAATGCACGCGTGCAATTAGCAGCAAAGCGCCAAGAGGCGAATGGCTGCTTCAGCGCAAACCGGAATTCGGCGACGGACAAACATTCGCCGTTTGAAGGCCATGCTGCTGCGGTGTTCCGCACACGATACCTGCGCTCTGTTGACATACAACCGAGCCAATCGCGCCAGTTGCTATGCGGGCATGAGACAATCGATCGGCCGGCCGTGTTTACCCCCTCCCCCCTCCCCTCAGCCCCCCCACGCACTGCCCACGAGTCATGGCTGTCGGTGGGGTGTGACTGGTGCGACCGGCTGACGCGATGCCCCCCCCCCCCCCCCCGTCCGACCGCAGAACCGCATGGAGGAGTCGAAAGCCCTCTTCCGCACGATCATCACGTACCCGTGGTTCCAACACTCGTCCGTTATTCTGTTCCTGAACAAGAAGGACCTGCTCGAGGAGAAGATCATGACCTCGCACCTGGTGGACTACTTCCCCGAGTACGACGGTGAGTACGGAAGCGGGGCCGCGCGGCCCGCCACTTGGCGGCGGACGCCGCGGGGGCGCGCCGCCAGCGGCGGTGTCGTCTCCAGTCCGGCAGCGCCGGCGCGACGAGCCCCGAGGTCACCGGGGGGCCGGCGGTGGCGGCCGGCGACGAGCGACGCCGGCGGCAACGTGCCCTGCTGCTGGCTCCCACGGCTGCCGAGCACGGACGGCTACGCAATGGCCCCTCCTGGTGCCTTTCCGGGATCGGCATGTGCCGTCGGCAAGGATCGCACTTGGTCGGTCACACCAGCTCTCTCCGTCGCCGTTTTCAGCCCCCGAGAGTGCTGATGCTGCGGGGCGCGTTCGGAGGTCACACGTGCCTCCTTGCCGTCCGCTCCAGACTGCCGTGCCCCCGAGTACAGGGTCATAGTCAGTGCATCCATCCATCCATCGTCTTGTCCCCTAAGCTCTCAGGGTACTTCACGGCCGATAAGCCAGGCATCCGGTACTATCTTCTATCCATTACTCGAGGCGCTCAAACAATTCGCGAAACCTTGTGTTTGTGTTCCTCTGTATGCGCTGCCTCCCGACGTTCTGTTCTCCAGCATCGGCGGGACGTTCTACTCCCCCTAGTCATCTCCAGCCTCCCCCCCCCCCCGCCCCGCCCCGCCATGCCCTGCTCCGCACGTCCATCTCCGTCGTTTCCTCCTCCCCCTCGGCGAGTTGGTCAGTCACGTCCATCTCCGCTGTTCCCTCCCCTCCTCGGCGAGTCGGTCAGTCACGTCCATGTCTGCTGCCGCCGCCGACAGGTCCACAGCGGGACGCCATCGCCGCCCGCGAATTCATTCTGAGAATGTTCGTCGACCTGAACCCCGACGCCGAAAAGATAATCTACTCGCATTTCACTTGTGCAACAGGTAACGCGGTCGGCGCCGGTCGCGGCCCGGTGTCTGCATGTGCTCAGGCTGGGGCTTGGCGGAGCGCGCCGGCACGACGACGAGGCTCGCGCGGCGCGCCTGCGGTCGGCGCTCGACCGCAGGCGCGTCCGCCGTCGCCGCGCGGGGGCGGCCGGAGCGGGCTGGGTCGCTCACCGCCAGCTGGCGCGCTGAACACCGCTGACAGAGCGGCCTCCGTCGAGGGCAGACGCCGGCGGCCGTCTGTTTGCATGCGCCGGCGTCTACTGCTGCGACGTGTGCATCAGCATGTGGTCTCTGTTCGGCGGAAGGGTCTTCTAGCCTTTGTGTTTCTTGGTCGTGTGGGTTTGCTTCGTTTTCCTGCGCTTTCTATCCAGCGGTCGGTTGACGTTTCGTCTCAGGCTTGTCCGTGTTCTGGTTGTGTGTTGGAGGGTTAACGCACGTGCTGGCTACAGAATGTCCATATTGTATCGGCATGACTACATTTAAATGCTTTTACCACGGGCTGTCTAATGCTTCCATGACGCATGCTGTGACTAAATGTGCTCTCGTGCCTGACCCGCTCCGTCGGGTAGATTGGTGATTGAGTGTGAATTTTCTCAATATGGATATGGTAGGGGTTTCGCAACAAGTGTTGCGCATGATCGGCAGGGAGATATATGTGTTAACCATTGACCTCGTGCACAGTTTACACCTCAGCGGCTTGTTGACAGGTTCTTTGCTCTGTAGAGGGTAAGCCGTGTTTCCCGACACAAGGTATTCACGGCGTATTTCTCCAAGCCGATGAGTTATTGTAATGTCGTCTCGCCGGCCATCCAAAGCTGTTTGAAAACACGGTATTATATAATAGCATTATAGTCGTAACATATCTTTGTTTGATGTATTACGTCACACAAGTAAGGATTATGCGCCTCTTAGATTTCTGCTGCCTTCCCCTCCCCTTAGCTTGGGCAGTATCTACGATCGCTACCAACCAGACGTGACCAGACGTGACCTGACCTGACGCCGGGCGGTCGCCTTTCAGACACGGAGAACATTCGGTTCGTGTTCGCCGCCGTCAAGGACACCATTCTCCAGCTGAACCTGAAGGAATACAACCTGGTGTAGGCGGCGCCGCGCCGTCCACGAGCTAGTCATTGCTGAGCCAACGGAGCTTGCGTCGGGCGAGGACGGACTATGCTTTGCGCTTTCACATCTGGGTGACTGGGGCGAGGGCTTCACTGGACGGGCGCTGGCGCGGACCTCCGCTGACCTGGTGTGACGGACCGCACGGGTAGGCCGCGTGCGCGCGCGCGCTCGCCTACGCCGCGGCCGCCGGCTGCCCACTCTTGTTTTCACACCATTCCGTAATGCAGAGGCCGCGAGAGTTGAGCGCGAGTGCACAAGTGTAGTTTTATCGAGGCGGGCGGCGGGTGCCGTCCCCGCTGAGCGCCGGTTGGCTGGTCTCTCGTCCAGGCGCGCCCCGATTGGTTGAATTTGATCCCCTGTTGCTGATTGGTCAGTCTCGTCCAGCGCGCATGTCGGTTGATTGGTCTCGCTCTATTGCGCGCGTGCTCACTGGCAGTCGTCTGCGTCAATCGACGCCGACGCCGCGATTGGTGTTCAATCCGGCGCGGATTCGACGCGCTGCGGGCGGCGCGCGCCGACTCGGCCGGCAGAGGGCCGCCGCCTGCTGTCGCGCCCGGCCGGGCTGGGGCCGCGTTTCGTTTTTCTGTGTGCCAAATGTGCTTCAGTTCTCCCTGTGCTCCGTGCGGCAGGCGGCGGTGGGTGGGCGCCGGCGCCGCGCGTGCTGTCGGCGCCACGCCGCTCGGCCGCCGGCGCCGGCGGCGCCACGTTACCGTCACCGCCTCCGGAGTACAGAAACGCCATCGAGTCCCGGAATTGCGGCCGTTCTACAGAGGTTTGATTATCAGCCCGATGCCTTCCTTGTTTTTTAAGATTTGTTTATTTATATGTTGTGCGTCCGTGATCGTGGAGTGGCGGTCTGCGAGCGTCGCCGGGCGTGGCGGAGTCTGCACAACACACCCGCACACCGCTGGCCGCCCGGCCGACGCCGGCCGGCGCCAGAGCCGCCCGCCGACGCCAGCCGGCGGCCAGGCCGGCGCCTGGCGCGCGCGGGTACACAGGGGCTGCGTGCGCGCGCGAGTGTGATAGGGAGGAGGGCGACCGGCGGCGCCCGGGGCCCCCCGCGCCGGGCGCCGCTGTCGCCCGGCTGTCTCAACCAAATATAGCCACTGTGCTCGTCCATTATTCCCCCTTTTGTAACTTGCAACTTGTTTGGTTACTGTAATACGGTTTTGTATAACTGGTACATATATATCTGTGTTGCATATGTACATTACTACGTGTACGCACACGTATGCACACGCGGGCGGTGGCGGCGGACGCGTGGGCGGACGGGGCGCGACCAACGGCGGCGCGCGCCGCTGGCCGCGCCCCCGGCCCCGCACCAAGCCGCGCTCGGCCCGGGACCCGCTGCGCAGCGTCTCCCCCCGCGCAGGTCGGCCCAGCGGACCACCGGGCCCCGGGCCGCGCGCAGCCGCGTCCCCGTCGGCCGCACCGCCCCCCCCCCCCCCCCCCCCCCGGACGAGCTCGGCTCGCGTCCGCGCACACGGACGCCGGCGCGCGCGCGGACTGGACGGCCGCGCGCCACGCCCACCGGCGCGCTACCACATGCTGGCAACATTATCGTATTGTTAGCTGCCAAGCTTTGTAACTACCTACTATGGAGGGTCTGTGTTTAAGAAAATTAATATTTATTGGACGTGTGTTTTGGTGCAGAGGATGAGAACGCGAGGACGGCAGCGACGGCAAAAAAGAAAACTGCGATGCAGTATGTGCAGTCGGGCTCCTGGGAGCTGTTGAGAGTTGGGAGTGAGTTTTATCAAGCAGCGCGGGGTCGATGGCTACATTGTGACGTTAAGAAGCTGTGGTGACAGATGCAGCGCTGTTGGAATCGCGGATGCTCACTATCATGTGGTGCGGAGCCGACGGCGACAGTGTAACGCTCATCCCAGTCCAGGTCGCCGATTAAGTAACACAGCACTGAAGTCTCGCAGCGCCCGTGTCAGCGCACGCTCACAAAGCCAGTCTATTGTTCTACGACGAGCGTAACGAAGAAACGCGGGTTGCCGTGCGGATTTCTGCGGATCTGTCGAAGGGCATCCTCCAGTGCGTCTGACCCGCGGCCTGTGGAAGGTTAGCTCAGATGGAAGCTGCGGCGGTCCAAATTACATGGGATCGACGCGAGGCTACTGGCGCATTTTGCCAGCGTGGTGCTCCGGCATAATTGACTAAAATCCCTTTTCAAAATTAATTTTACATATGTGTGAGCTTGTTCTCGGCGCAGTATTCAGTCACGAGCGGAATGACCGGCATTGGGCAGTTCTGGGTATTTGTTCAATAAGTTCTGTTCCATAGAATTCCGATGTCATTGTAGACAAACGTTGCTATCGTTATGGTGGTCCTTAGTCTCAAAGAGAGGATCTAACTTTTTGTGCTTTTCACTTGTTACATCAGACACATACAATTTCATCAGTAACATCACTTCTCGAAATCCTCAACACCTCGCCATATGACCAACGTAGTCGGTGCGCTATAAAGCCCAAATCATCATCATCCCCTTCTCAATACCTCACAACTTTGATTTGAAGTAGCCGACCTTGCAGGAGAATCTCATTTGACGCCCTGCTAGCCAGTATGAAATAAATGCATTTCGTTTGCCTTGCCCATTTGTTTTGTGTAATAAATGCTACCACAGCTTGAAGCATTCGATAAAAGCAAAAACATATGGGAACATAAAGCTATCTCGCGAATTCAGCGAGCCGTTACACTTTGGATTAGATATCCGCTATGACGTTTACCCCGATGGTTCTTTAGAGCACACTGGCTCTAAGGACGGAAGTATTTCCACGATCCATGTGGCGCAATGGTTCAAACTTCAGCCAGTGTACTCCTTGGTAACAGGCCCTTACCCGTTTGGCCAATGACAAATGTTATTTTACTCGAACCGGTAGTGTACACGGCGGTCGTCATGACAACGGTAGTCCCATCTGCAGACGGGAGGCGCAATGCTGTTACGAGACGTTGACAGCGTTATTTGGGCTCGAAAATGATAAAATTGAAGCCCTTATTATGTCTTGACTGCTGCAATGGTAGTACCCAATACCTTTATTAGACGTGACTAGTCTTAAGGTTTCACCAAAGTATGTTTTTTGAAACATGCCCCAAGGGTGGGACACTCCCTTTAACCACAACCCTAGATTAAAAACAGGTTATCAGTTCCTGGGTCATCTGAGGGAACGCGGGACCTTCTGGGCGATAAGCTAGAGTTCCTACGGCAGACACCATCTACGTGGAGGCTGGTGGACCCGCGGCGAGATTTCGGCTTAGGGCACCGAAATGCGTCGCCTACGGAGACGTGATTAGCAAGCTTATAACAGTAGCCGCATAGCGGCGCTAGTGACCGAATAGAGGGCAGCACAAGTTGGTGCGCAGGTCACCAGCCGGTTAAGTCTGGACCAGGTGCCATCTCCGACCAACAATGCCGGCATGCCCGGCGGGCTAGTCAGGAATATTCTGACTAAGCATTGGGCAAACGGTATTAACCTCTAAGACCAATCCTGCAGTTGCGATGTCCGCGAAGACAGCTGCAGCTATATTGTAATTATCAGATAAGTAATCAGGTTGCTTTGGATTTCGCCCAAATCTTCCACAGCGTTAGATATTGCGCTATTGGGCACGGGAAGCGGGCATTGGCTACTTAACGAGTTTTCTAACACCAACATTTGTCTGAATGGTATATGGTAAATGGGGAATTCTGCTGTGGGGCCTCTAATAACCCGAGAACCGTCGGTGGTGGATCCCAAAACTCATGTTCTGAATCAACGTCCAGATCGGACCTCCTACACGGTGGTCCGAGTACCGGCGGACTATAAATACTTTTGCGGCGCCAGGAAACCTGCCCATATGGCTAGCATTGGTGACGGTCAGCTCCGTGTGATTTGAAAGCTATCGGAGCAGCGAAGAATATCGACTGCAGCGTGTTAATCGATTGCATACCTGCCTAGGGGTGAAGAGGCAGGTAGAACGTTGGCCAGAATTGAACAGGAACGGTGCTCACAAACACAAATTAGCTATTATTACATGACGAGGTTCCTGTGCGACCTTTTCGGCGTGGCGATAAATTACAGCGTTACAAATAGTAAGTGATTTGTAGAGTATCAGTAATCATCTCAACCCAAATGTGTGCACACTGAAACGACCACAAAACAGCAGGGTGCTTCGCCATTCAACTCACACAATTTGGCAACGGCGAGATCCAGAGCTCAGGCAGCCTAGTCAAGCTCCCATCTGGCAAAAACGTGCAATTTGTCGACGGCCTCATGGCCAAGGCCTTCCCGATTTGGAAGAATAGTACCAAGAAGACACGGCATGCTCATTGAGCAGGTCATTGTGGTGGCAAAAAACCTTGCCCCTGCATTCAACTCAAAGTTACTGGAGAAGCAGCGCGAAGCGAGAAAAGGACGTGCACGTCGGTGGGCATTGCTCCAAACCCAGAGGAGGCTGCGAACTACCCGTGTGAGCTTCCCATAGACCTGGAGCCACTGGGACGGGTGAGAAAAGGACGTGCTTGTCAGTGGGCATTGCTCCAAACCCAGAGGAGGCTGTGAACTACCCGTGTGAGCTTCCCATCGACCTGGAGCCAATAGGACTCCCATCACGCGGGGTTTGGCGGTGCGTCCACCATGCTCCTGCGAAACCTGGGTCCCGAGCTTTGCAATGGCGACCATCATGCCAGACAAGGCCGAGGGAGCGAAGGCCTTCATCCCAAGATTGCTGTTCATCCCATCTGACATGCCGTTCGAGCTCAAACGGATGCATGCTGAGCCACAGCCTGATCGCGCCGGTGTTGTCCTGGGGTTAGCGTAACGTTGGCTGCCCCAGACCCCAGGGAGATTAGCCGACCCTGATGCAGGCGAACAAGACCAAGACGGTGGTGTAAAGGAGAGCGCTGCAGTCATAAGCATTCCTGGTACAGGAAGTCAGCAGCAGCGGCGTCGGAATGCATCGGTATCCAGTCCGCTCTCGCCCGTCGCCATCTTGCGCCGTGTGTGACCTCGGCTACTCAGCGCCCGGTCTCTCCTGTGCCGGGCATGGTCCGGCCGGGCGGCGGACCGTACTGTACCTCGGATGCTAATCTTCAGTCATAAAACTGAAGGCAGCTATCTCAATTTGCTCGTTTGCTGTATACATTTTTCCAGGGTACCGCACAGACAGTGCTAAATAATGCAAAAAACATGACAAAATGGCACATAAGACGGAACTTTGGGACCGTACAAGCTACAAATGGTGAGGATGTTTTACCCTTTTTATAGTTGTTTTATAGGCCAGTTGTAACAACGACCGTTTGTACAGATTTTGTATGCATTGTATTCAAACCCATAGGCCACGGCACGTAGGCCTAGTACATAGATATTTCTGCCTCATTCGATTTTGCAACGAATATTCCGAAGTTGAATGACGTTGTAGGAAGTCACCCTCTACCAACATTTAAACATCGTTTGGACGGCAAGTCCTATCGGTCTAAGGATCTTATTTAAAGCTAAATTCAAGCAGGTGAGGTGGTAAGATTAGTGTCAAGGATGTGTGCGGTGCCTGAGGTACGCCAGCCTTGAGGGGCTCTTGTAGCTCTTTGTTGACCTGATGTCCGTATGTCTCTATGTTTTTCATAATCACGACACAAATTTACTGAACGATTTTTTATTACAACATTGTTGTGTTCTCATTTATTGTAACATTGTTATGTTTTCATTTATCGTAACATTATGTTTTCTGAAACATGGCCTGCGCCTGCAATGCCCACAAAAACCTGACGAAAAAGTTCCTGGGCGTGCGCTGCGTGTTTTCCGACCGTAGCTCAAGGGCACGGTCGGCTGAAGGCTGGGGAGTAGGCGTGACGTCACTGTGACGTCGGCTGGCGTCCAGCTCCCGGCCGGCGTACATTATGGCCTGCCCGGAGACCCCCGCTACGCTGCGTCTCGCCCTGGATGCGGCGGTAAGGTAAGGAACACTCTCTGGGTCGGGCGGCCG